TATTTCTCTCTTCTTCCTTCTCATAGTCCAGACTCCTGGAGATCAGGAGACCAGAGCTCACTTGCCTTCTACTATATGTCTGTGGTAAGCAGACACTGACATACTAGAAAAAAAAAAAGGCATTTGGCTGTAATATTTGCAAGACCCGAAAAGGTACTGGGAATAGATTTTTTTCCATAGAGGGAAGGGGTGGTGTTTTATAAGAAAGAGCACTCTGTCTCAAAAACTAGAAAAAATAAATAAACCCAAATCATTAGAAATACCCAGGGAAATTGTCAGAAATATAATAGCAGCAGGAAACTGTAATATGACTTTCTTTGACAGGCAAAGTAAGAAAAATATACAAAGGTGCCGGGCGTGGTGGCTCACGCCGGTAATCCCAGCACTTTGAGAGGCTGAGGCAGGCAGATCATAAGGTCAGGAGTTCAAGACCAACTTGGCCAGCATGGTGAAACCCAGTCTCTACTAAAAACACAAATAGCCAGGCATGGTGGCACCCACCTGTAATTCCAGCTACTTGGGAGGCCGAGGCAGGAGAATTGCTTGAACCCAGCAGGCGGAGGTTGCAGTGAGCGAAGATCATGCCACTGCACTCCAGCCTGGTTGACAGAGTGAGACTCTGTCTCAAAAAAAAAAAAGAAAAATATACAAAGGTATAAAGGAACAGATAATCTCAATGATAAAGTTGATTAATTAATTAGCCTCTCATTCAACAAATATGTACTGAATGGTGTGTGCCAGGCCCTTTGCTGGATACCAGAAAGATATCAGCCATAAATATATCATCAGTGAACATCCTGAGCCTCCATCCTCTTGGAGCACATATTCAGGTGATATTTATTTAACTTTGTATCTCATAAATGGAGAACCTACCTTTTTCAATGCCAATAAAACATTTACAAATCTTGTTCAAATATTAGGCCGTGAAGGAGATTAGAAATTCCCCAAACTTGGGGCCAGGCGTGGTGGCTCATGCCTGTAATCCAAGCACTTTGGAGGCCAAGGTGGGTGGATCCCCTGAGGTTGGAAGTTCAAAACCAGCCTGACCAACATGGTGAAACCCCGTCTTGAAAAAAATAAAAATAAACAAATAAATAAAATTTCAAAAAAAGAAATTCCCCAAACTTGAAATTGTAGTGGACACATACTCAGACCATAATGCAATAAACCAGAAATTTCTAAATGTTTGAGTAACAGAAACCAACCTCTTTAAAAATTGCAAAAACAGTCCTAAATAATTCTTTGATCAATGAGAAAATTCAAATTGTAAATACAGATTATTATAATGATAATATAATTAGGCTAGGCTTGGTGACTGATGCCTGTAATCCCAGAATTTTTGGGAAGCCAAGAGAGGAGGATATCTTGAAGCCAGGAGTTCAAGACAAGCCTGAGCAACATAGTGAGATCCATGTCTCTACAAAAAAAAAATTATTATTATTATTTTGAGACAGTCTTGCTCTGTCGCCTGGCTGCAGTGCAGTGGCACCATCTCAGCTCACTGCAATCTCTGCCTCCCGGGTGCAAGTGATTCCCCTGCCTCAACCTCCCAAATAGCTGAGATTACAGGTGCATGCCACCATGTCCTGCTAATTTTTTGTATTTTAGTAGAGAGGGGTTTCACCATATTGGCCAGGATGGTCTCAACCCCCTAACCTCATGATCTGCCCCTCAGCTTCCCAAAGTGCTGGGATTACAGGCATGAGCCATTGCGCCTGACCAAAAAAAATTGTTTTTAATTAGCCTGGCATGGTGACATGCACCAGTAGTCCCAGCTACTCAAGAGGCTAAGGCAGATGTATTGCTAGAACCTAGGATGTTGAGGCTGCAGTGAGCTAAGGTCACACTATGGGGCATAATTCTATTTCATTAAAAAAATGAATGCTGCTTGAGGCTCACTAAATTGACTTCATGACCAGCACAAAATTCCATGAAGCTGCATTTTGGAAATCTTGTCCTGGACTAGGTGTCGGCAGACTTCCTGCAAAGGGCCTGTTGATAAATATTTCAGACTTTGCAGCTCACAGTGTTTCTGCGGCAAGAGCAGCACTCAAACCCTGCCGTTTGCATCCTGAAAGTCACTCACAATACATAAAGAGATGGTTGTGGCTTTGCTTCGATATAAATTTATAGACACTATAATTTGAATTTTGAAAGATTTTCTCATGAACTCTTCTTCTTTTAGTAGCTTACAAGCCATGCAAAAACAAAAGGTGGGCTTGATTTGGCTGGAAGCCATAGTTTACTGATCCTTGCCCTAAACTGTAAGCTTTATGGAAGCAGAGACCACTTTCTGTCTTTTTTCCCCATTGCATCGCTAAGGTTTGACACAAAGCATTGTGTGCATTCAATCGATAGTTGGTAAATGAATTATTAAAGAGCAATTTGTATATTAAGCACTTTTATTACAAAATTACTGTGTGTTCATGGAAGAAAAATAAGCAGTGCAGCTGAACAAAATGAATAAACAAATCCTTAGTAATTCCACCTCTGGGAGATAACCACATCCTTTCCTAGTGTTACGCAATAGGTGTCAGGAATTAGGAAAATCTTATTTTTTGGCCATGGGAGCTGTGAAAAGTTCTATTTCTCCTCAATCCACCAGAGACCCACGCTTCCCCTTTCTGGCTGTAGGGGGTGAAGCTGAGAGAAAAAATGAGGAGGGAGGGTGGAAAGTATGGGGGAAAGCAATCTGATAAGCAGCTAATGAGCTCCTATACTATGCTGCCATATGCCTGGCCAGGCTAGATACTGGGGGATAGAGGTAGCACCCATCCCTTCTGGATTGACAGTTGAAAGGGTAGACAAGAAATTAAAAGTGTGATAAATGTGACCAAAGGGGATATGCAAGGTGCTATGAGGGCTTAATGTGGGGAGGGGTGTCAAACCTCATCTGGGTGTCAGGAAATGCTTCCTTCCCTAAGGAAGTGACATTTAGGCTGACACCTAGGCTGAGAAAGAGTTAGTTGAGCAAGAACATGGGAAGCTCTGGCTAGGCATAGTGACTGATGCCTGTAATCCCAGCACTTTGGGAAGCGGAGATGGGTGGATCAACTGAGGTCAGGAGTTCAAGACCAGCCTGGCCAACATGGTGAAACCCTGTCTCTACTAAAAATACAAAATTAGCTGGGCATCGTGGCCGGTGCCTGTAATCCCAGCTATTCAGGAGGCTGAGGCAGGAGCATCAGTTGAACCTGGGAGGCGGAGGTTGCAGTGAGCCGAGATTGTGCACTGCACTACAGCCTGGATGACAGAGTAAGACTATGCCTTGGGAAAAAAAAAGAAAGAAAGAAAAAAAAACATGGGAAGTTCCACAGTGAGACAGTGCAACTTTCTTTAGAAACGTCTGGCTGGAGAGTCGACAGGGAAGGAAATGGCATGAGGTCAGCCTGCAGAGGTTGGCCGGGACCCATCAGCAGAGCCTTGCCATCTAGACCTAACTGCCTGTTGAACAGAAACTGAAGAAGATAAATGAATATATTAAAAGCATCCTGAGGAAGTAATCAGCCAACTCCAGAGTGAGGAACATTCTATGGGACAAATGATTCCGTGTCTTGTCAGATCAATGTCATGAAATGAGTAAAAGGCAGGGAGGTGTGTTATAAAATGAAAGAGATTTAAGCGTAATATCAGAAGGACTTAATTGTTCACCCTAATCTCTTGGTTAAGGTGGTAACTGCCAGGTTTCTTCTCTGTCTTTCCCTTTCTATAAGACCAGCCCACACTCAAGGGACTGTAAGAGCTAAGGGAATTCACTGCAGGGACTGAAGCAAAAAAGAAATGAGGTCAAATGTCTTTTTTTTTTTTTTTTGAGACAGTCTCACTGTTGCCCAGGCTGGAGTGCAATGGCATGATCTCAGCTCACTGCAATCTCCGCCTCCTGGGTTCAAATGATTCTCCTGTTTCAGCCACCTGACTAGCTGGGATTACAGACACACACCACCACACCCGGCCAATTTTTGTATTTTAGTAGAGATAGGGTTTCACCATGTTGATCAGGCTGGTCTCAATCTCCTGACCATGTGATCCACCTGGCTTGGCCTCTCAAAGTGCTGAGGTTACAGGTGTGAGCCACCTTGCCCAGCCCTCAGACATCTTTTTTTTTTTTTGAGATAGAGTTTTGCCCTTATTGCCCAGGCTGGAGTGCAATGGTTCGATCTCGGCTCACTGTAACCTCCACCTCCCAGTTCAAATGATTCTCCTGCCTCAGCCTCTCGAGTAGCTGGGATTACAGGCATGCGCCACCTCCCCTGGTCCTCAAATGTCTTTTTTAGGAGGAATACTCTGGCTGCAATGTGGCAATGAGATATGGTGGCGTTTGCAGCGGGAATGGATGTACCTTGAGTGATTTCAGGAGAACAGCTCAGCAGGAGTTATTATTGAATATGAGGTGGTGAGAAAAGGTGGAGTTGGGTAGCTGAGGTCTTTTACTGAATCCAATCAAGGGTCTGTGTGCTCCCAGGAGGTTGCTTCACCTGCCCCCAGGAAGAAGCCACTTTCGGCTGCCCGGTCTTTCCTTGCCTTGGGGCGCGTCCCTGAGGGTTACTGGGGCTGGAAAGCCACCAGCCAACACAAATTAGGAGAGCCTTGGGATTACCAAGGAGGGTCAGAATCCTCGACTCTGAGTTAAAGAAGGGACAGCCGTCAGGGGGACTGAATGGGGCGGGAGGAATGTAAGTCATCCCTAACGTTTTCTTTTCCGAGGCGGGCAGATCACCTGAGGTCAGGTGTTCAAGACCAGCCTGGCCAACATGGTGAAACCCCGTCTCTACTAAAAGTACAAAAATTAGCTGGGTGGGTGTAATCCCAGCTCGAGAGGCTGAGGCTGGAGAACTGGAGAGGCGGCGGTTGCGGTAAACCGAGATTGCGTCACTGCACTCCAGCCTGAGCAACAAAAGCAAAACTCTGTCTCAAAAAAAAAAAAAAAAAAATCTTTCTTTTCCTTCCGGGTTTAACAACCCAATTATGAGCACGTAATCAAAAGGTCAATGACTCACTGGTTTCAAACAAGTAATTTTATTTACCTTTTCGTGTTTTACCAACCTGACCTCCCCCTCGGCCCTGAGTGATTTCGTTTTCCTTTCGGAGCCTGTTTGGGAGGGGGGACTACTACAGTCTCAGCACTTATCTCCGCCGGCGGGCCCCCCGCCCGGGTTTCTTTTCTCCTCGGCGCCTTCGGGTGCGGGCTGGAGGAACGGAGGGGGTTGGGGACGGGGGTGCGGGGCCGGGGGCCGGGTGGGCCCGGCTCACTTGCGTAGGCTTGTAAACCAGGTGGAAGATGAAGGCGTTGCAGTACCTGCGGGGCCGCGGGGCGCGGTCAGGGACCAGGGGGCGGAGCTCCAAGGGGCGGGGCTTGCCCCTCCTAGTTCCAGGGCGTGAGGCTAGACTCAGGGTTGGTTGGCTTTGTTAGAGGGTCGCAGGGTTTTTTGTTGGTTGGGGAGATTCTGCGACCTAGATCTAAAGAGGGGTGTGCTGGGGATTGTCGAGACCTCCCATGGGGGTGACCAGTAGTGGGAGCAGAGAAGGCAGGTTGTTGGCCTGGGGCAAGAGGGTCCCAGGACTGTGGGGACTAGGGCAGAGGTGGGTCTTTGAGGATGCGGAGCCAGAAAGTAAGAGAAGCGAAGTCAGGAAGGAGATAGGGTCTCAGGCCCTTACCAGGGCATACAGTCGTCGGCCGCTCTGAGGCGAAAGGGGGAGCGGAAGGGGTTGACCTGGGGACGGCTAGTGCCCCCTCCAGTGGCCACCGCCATGGTCTGGCCGTCCATCACGCAGCCATACTCGCTGCTCTCGGTGAAGAAGGCTGGCACTCGGAGGGACTGGGTGGGGCAAGACTCGCTCTGAGAGGTCCCTCTCCAGATCCGTCCCAGCAGCCAGGATGACAGACAGGGCTGAAATCCGAGGCCCCGGGACAGATCTGGCGGGAGAGAAGCAGGAGGAGGCCCGAGGCAGACACAGAGATGGGCAGAGGGACCCGTGGGCATTCCCCAGGCCTGTGGAGCAGGTGATGGTGCAGAGGAGAGCCCGGAGACTTTCAGAAAAGGAGATGAGGAGGGGCCGGGCAGGAGGGGAGAGAAGTTCCCGTTTGCCCCCATTGCCCACCTGCAGGCGAGGCAGAGAGCTCAGCCATGTATCCTTGAGACCAAACCCAGAGTTAAATCCTGCAGAGAGGTGAGAGACGCTGGCTCCCATGGTCGGCTTCTCTCCCGCCTTCCGCATGTGCCTACCCCGGAGCCCCAGGCTCTTACCAATAACCAGGTCGGGCTTGGGCCCCTGGAGCAGGTGGTAGGGCCTGGCTGACACCTTGATCTGCAGGTCCCTGTGGCTCCCCTTCTCCTTAGTGCCAGAGCTGGGCCGTGCTGATACGCCAGAACCATTCCGGACAGACACCTCGGGGCCGTCCTGAAGGGCCAGGAGAAGGATGGAAAAGCCACAGGAAGTCAGGGAACTGGAGAATGCACCAGCAAGATCGGGAGTCGGGGGCAGATGGGCAGGGCCTAACCAAGAGGTCACTGGAGGGGTCAGGGCTGAAGAGCAGGGCCCCCTCAGCCCTCACCCTCTGCAAGGTAAAATGCTGCTGGTCGCTTTCAGGGGTCAGGCCATCACCTACAAACTGCAGCTCCAGGGCCACATGGGGGAGCAGGACCAAGAGCTCCTAGAGGACAGAAAGAAGGACAGATCTGGGTTCTACCCAGTATCCGCCCCCATACCACAATGCCCAACCTTCAGTGCTGGGGGGGACTTGCCCAAAAAACCATGACAAGGTCAAACTCCTTCCCGGCCTCCACCACGTGGATCTTCAGTGACTGTTTGTTCTGGATGTTGAGCTCAGGGACTGTGAGAAAACAGCTCTTTAAGGATATGGTCCACTCTCACTCCCCCATCTCACCCACACCCGCACTCAGCTCTCCTTACAGGACTGGGGCACCAGGTAGGTGATGACGTAGTACACAGTCAGCGGGTAGGTGAGAAGCACAGCCATGGGGGAATCCAAGCTGAGGCCCCGCCATGTGTAGTAATCCTGCCATGAGCCTGGGAGGAGGGGGTTACTAGATGACCTGGCCCTGGACCCCACCCCCTCTAGTCTAATAGCCTGCTTTTTCACAGTCACCCAGGCTCTGGTTCTCCAGTCCCTGTCCCTACCCATAGCTCCCACAGGGCCCCTCCAACTCACCAAAAAGACCCCGTGGTGGGTCTGGGGGCACAGGAGGCATTAGGGCAGGCCCTTCCCCCTGGAGAAGCTGGTAGGGATCTCCTGAGAGGACGAAAGAAAGAAGACCCTGGGGTCAGGGAGACTCCTCCCACCTGACCCATCCTTTCAAAGGAACTGTATTCCCTGAGAAAGCTGCAGTAAGAGGAATGGGGGTTTGTGTAGGGATGGGGCTTCTGGGTGGAGTTGGTAGGGGTGACTCCATTGAAGGCTGGGGAAAGGCCTGAAATTGCCCTGGTGCTATTGGTAGGGAGTCAGTGTGTATGTGGAGGGATTACCTGGGAGGGACCCAGACAACTTCTTTCTAGTCCTTCCCTCTAGGCCAAGGGGCCCATGCCTTAAGAGAGACCCCACGCACCACCGAGAAGAAGGCTAAGGGATGGCGTGTTGCTTCGGGGATGCCTGGAGAAGCCGGGCCCTGGAATCAGCATGCTGAGCTGGGTCCAGTAGCCACGAGTGAGGCCCCGAGAGGCCAGGAAGGCCTCCTTGTTGAAGGTTTCACTGGTCACCTCTGGAGAAGAAGGGGATGAATTGAGGCACTGGGGTAGCGCCCACTTTTTTTCTTTTTTTTTTTTTGTGAGACTGAGTCTTGCTCTGTTACCCAGGCTAGAGTACAGTGGCACGATCATGGATCACTGCAGCCTCGACCTCTTAGGCTCAAAGGATTCTCCCATCTCAGCCTCCCGAGAATTGTGACTACAAGCCTGTGCACCATGCCTGGCTAATTTTTTCTATTTTTTATAGAGACAGAGTCTATGTTGCTCAGGCTGGTCTCGAACTCCTGGGCTCAAGTTAGCATCCCAATGTGCTGGGATTACAGGTATGAACCATTGCCTGGCCTAGAACCCCAGACTAACTCTCCTCAGCCTCCTCTAAGGACTCTGGATCTAAGTCTGGTTCCAGTCAGGCAGGGAACTACCATTTCTGTGGGTCTCCAGTGTACCAGGCACAAAGCCCACATAATCCTTGTGACAATTCCACGGGCCTTTACATTTGTTAGCATCCCTCTTTTGCAGATGAGGAGATGGAGGCTCCAAGAAGTAAAGTGTTTTTGTTTTTTTATTTGAGATGGAGTCTCACTCTGTCACCCAGACTGGAGTGCAGTGGCATGATCTCAGCTCACAGCAACCTCAGCTTCCCAGGTACAAGTGATTCTTCTGCCTCAGCCTCCTGAGTAGCTGGGACTACAGGTGCGTGCCACCATGCCTGGCTAATTTTTGTATTTTTAGTAGAGACAGGGTTTCACCATGTTGGCCAAGCTGGTCTTGAACTTCTGACCTTGTGATCTGTTTGTCTCAGCCTCCCAAAGTGCTGGGATTACAGGTGCGAGCCACCGTAACAAAACAAATCACTGGAAGGTGATTTGTTTAAGGTCACACTGCCAGTTAGTGGTGGAGCTAGGAAGCAAGTAAGTATTTGAATCCCTATCCCCCAATCCCTGCACTCTCTTGGGGACCTAGACATTCAGTCCTTGGCTTCACAGACCCAGTCTCCAGCCCCAAACATCGAGCCCCTGCCTTTATTCCAGGGATCTAGGTTCTAGCCCCAGACACTCAGCCTTCGACTCCAGGACCCTGTTTCCAGGCATCTCATTCCTTTTTTTTTTTCCAAGATGGAGTCTTGCTCTGTCTCCCAGGCCAGGGTGCAGTGGCACAGTCTCAGCTCATTGCAACCTCCGCCTCCTGGGTTCAAGCAATTATCCTGTCTCAGCCTCCTGAGTAGCTGGGATTACAGGCATGCCCCACGCCCAGCTAATTTTGTATTTTTAATAGAGATGGGGTTTCACCATGTTGGTCCGGCTGGTCTCAAACTTCTGACCTACTGATCCACCCGCCTTGGCCTCCCAAAGTGCTAGGATTACAGGCATGAGCCACTGCGCCTGGCCAGACATCTAATTCCCAGTATCAAAGACCCGATCCCAGTTTTGCCCAACCATTCTGACCTCCTTATGGTACCTGTGGTGTAGGTAAAAGGCAGGGTTGCTAGTTCTCCTGCCCGCTCCACGAAGGCTGCAAGCTTTGGGCACCAAAATCGGTGGCTCACATCATCTGGGCACCGCCACCAGTCAGCCTGGAGACAAGCCTCTCCACAATACAAGACAGCACTACACTGGGGGCTGGGGACACAGTGGGTGGTGGGCACCCAGTGTTAGCCTCTGTAGGTCCTGTCTGCTGTCCATCTGCCCAGTAGCTGCCCCTGTGTCACTCCGTTTGTCTTACACCCTCTAACCGCCTGTAACAGCCCGTATTGTTTCCTCTTCATCTTCTCATGTCCCTGCCCCTCCTTCTGTCTGTCTGCTAGGCACACCCCACCGGCCTGCTTTCTATTTGCCTGACTGTTGGGGTCTTCCTCTGCCCCCAGCTTTGGGGCTGCTCACCAAGGTGTCAGCTTCACTTCAAAGCTGTGCCTGTGACAAACGTGGCAGGTTCGAGCACGAAGGGAAGCAAAGGTGAAGTCTGGTCGGGGACCCCATGTCCTCATTGGGGTCTTGGCTAACTTCACACCTAGCCTTGGGATCAAGCTCTCCAGCTCTCTAAATAGGGGCGGAGATGGCAGCAGACTGGAGGGGTGCTTGGGAATCCAGGGCCCCAGCCCTCCCCAGCATCAGATATCAGATTTCTGTACCGATGCAGCCGGGCATCTCCCACAGTAAGCTGTCGGGGCTTTCGGGGGTCCCCGGAGCCCATGGGACAGGCCATGCTGTGACAGAGGAGCACATAGGCCCGAGGAGCCAGGCTCTCAGTCCCTGAGCCCCAGCTTCCAGTCCCCTGGGCTCCATCCACCAGCAGATCAATGCCCAAGATGGTGCCATGCTCATCCGTCACCAGTAAGAGACAGGAAAGGTGCAGGGGGGCAGCCTCTGGGGAAAGAGGGAAAAGTTGGGGTGGTAGGGGGCAGACAAATATGGTCAGAGTCAGGAGTACCAAACTCAAATACCTACAGGGGCTAGGCAAGTAACCTCACTGAGCAAAGGCCACTGGGGAGAGAGGGCATGCTCCTTCTTTTCTTTTTTTTGAGAGGAAGTTTCCCTCTTGTTGCCCAGGCTGAAATGCAATGGTGAGATCTTGGCTCACTGCAACCTCTGCCTTCTGGGTTCAAGCGATTCTCCTGCCTCAGCCTCCTGAGTAGCTGGGATTACAGGCATGTGCCACTACACCCAGCTAATTTTGTATTTTTAGTAGAGATGGGGTTTCTCCCCATTGGTCAGGCTGGGCTCAAACTCCTGACCTCAGGTGATTCACCTGCCTGGGCTTCCCAAAGTGCTAAGATTACAGGTGTGACCAACCATGCCCAGCCAAGGGCATGTTCCTTCTAAAAGTGACAGCTGCTATACAGGGACCAGAATGCACTGCTGTGCAGAAATGTGGACCCACTGCCAGAGCTTGAGATTTTTCTTGGGAATGTGTAAATCCAGACTTCTGGATACTTTTTTCTTGCAATGTTTAAACATTAAATTAAAAAAAACACACACACAAAAAACAAAAAAACCACTGTGGGTCAATAAAAACACCTTTTCAGGCCAGACTGGCCTGAAGGCTAGCACTCAGAACTAGTGGCAGGGGAGGGCTTCCGAAGGAAGGATGGCTGGGCAATGGGTAGGGCAGGGCCAGCCCTCAGTTCTTACCACTCCTCCGTCCCTTCCTCTTCTGGGGTCTTGTTTTGTCCTCCACCCTGTTCTCTTGGCAGCCATCCTCACCACCTCCTGCCACCTGCTCAGCCTCCTCTGACTCTCCTGGAGGGTTTACTTCCTGGGAGGACTCCCTGCTGGTAGGGGCTAGCTCCTGATCCTCCTCTGGTTCCACCTTCTCTGTGCCTGCACCCCCCTCCTCTCTCTTCTTTTCTTCTTCATCTTCCTCCTCCCCTTCCTCCCCATCCTCTAGGCTGCCAAATCTGATGTAGGGGCTCAGGTCTTGAAGGTGGAGTGGAAGGTCGTCTCCCAGGACTCGGGCAGCCCCCAGGCCTGGTCCAGGGCCTCGCTCTGCCCCTTGCCCCAGGCTGATGCCCACACTAGGGTTGGGCAAGACATGGAGCACCCAAAGGGCAGGGTCCCAGGGCAGCCTTCTGATTGGGGCCTCCAGCTGTCGCCAACGGCCCTCCAGGCTGGTCCCTCCAGCCCCACGCTCTGCCACAAACTTTCGGAACCAGGCAAACAGAAGGGCAGCGAAATCAAGGAACTCATCCCGGTATCCAGACACAAACTCCATGTCTTCAGGGACACATGGCCCCAGCCCAGACTGAGCAAAGGAAGGGATATATGGTGAGGAACAGGGTAGCAATGAAAGAGTTTGGGGCTGGGTCACAAATTGGAGGTGAGGGTGGGTAAGAGTCACTTAGGATTGGATGTGTGGATAGGCCAGGAGGTGAGAAGAGGGTTTTCAGGGCTGAGGATGGGAGTTCAGGGAAGAAAATGGGGGCAGGACTTGAAACTGGGTGACTACGGTTGGAGAAGACTACTCAGGGATGAGATGGTATTTGGGGCTTAACATTGGAGAGTTCAGACCCTCAAAAGTAGAGTTTAAATGAAGGCTAGAGATGAGAGAGGGCTAATTCTATCGGGACGGGTTTGGCGAGGAGGGAAGCATTTTGGATGCGTCTGTGGGGCATGGCAGTGGGAGAGGGTTTGCCCTGGGCTCGGATCGGTGTGGCGGGGAGCCCCGGTAGGCGTAGCCCCTCCCGGCCGCCCCACTCCGCGGGTACCTGCGGCCGCTGCCACTTTTCAAAGGTAAATACCTCGGGGTGGAGGGTGCGCGGGTTCGGTTGTGACGTCAGGGCTGCCCGAGGCCCGGCCGGCTCAACGGGCGGTCACGTTCCCCCCGCCCCGCCCGCCCCAGCACTGGGCTCGGTGCGTCCGCGTGTGGCCGCCCCTCAGGGGCGCGCGGCCGCGGCTGGCGGTGGCCCTGGAGCCTCCACCGCGCCACCCTGAGGCTCATCCAGCGCTGCAGGGTCCCGCGGCGCAGGAGCAGGGAAGTGAAAGTGCCTTGGAGTAGGAGGGCCGTGACCCGCTTCTCAGGCCAGCGGGCAAGTGGGGCGGGCGGAGGGGCTGGGCTCCTGAACCCAACTGAATCGGCTCCTCGGGCCGCGGTCCTCCCGCCCCGCCTCGCCGCCGCAGGAGTGTTCTTTCGGTTTCTTCTGAGATTCCTGGCCGTCCCTCGATGGAGCTCGAGCCCAGTGCGGGGGCGCGGGGCGCGGGTGCTCCACCTCCCGGACTTTCCCAGCGGCTTGGGGCTGGCGCGGCGCGGGCTCGGTGAGGAGCGCTTGGTCAGGGCGCAGCGGGGCAGGGGGGCGCCGCCGGCTCTCGCCTCCTCCCCAGACGGGACGTGGCGTCGACTGCCGCGCTCTCCTCCGATCCCTGGCCAAAGCCACTGACAAACCAGCTGGACGTCACGCGCCGGAGCCTGTCTGGGAGTCCGAGCGAGGCGGCTCCATCCCCGCAGCTTCCGCGGAGCCCCGAGATGCGGCAGGCCTGGGGTCGCGGGTCCCTCGCGCTCCTGCTCCTTCTGCTCGCAGACCTGACTCTGCCAGGTTAGCCGGGGGCGGGGCAGGGGACTCAGATCCCCAAGTCAAGGGAAGGGGGTGAGTCGGGGAGGGGGCACGAGGCCCACGGAGCTGGGTTGATGAAGGCAGCGGGAACAGAGGAAAGCGAGCCAGCAACCTGGGGTTGGGGACCGCGGCCGGGGGACATCTGGCTCCCGGCGGGATTACGGACGTTGTGGAGGGCGTGATGATGTGCGGGTTGAACCTGGCGTTCTGTCCCCGGGCTTACGGGAGAGGTTGTAATGAGGCAGTGGATTGGAGGCCAGGGAACAGCGGAGTGGAGACCCTGGGTCTGGGAACGGGTGCCGACGATCTGTCTCGCTAAGGCAATGGCAACGAGGGCAGCGTCACTGGAAGTTGTCACTGTGATAAAATAATTTCTTCGGACTCCTCGCCATCGGCTCAGTACTTCTATCACCTCCGAAAACATCTGAAATCTTACCATCACTGTCCGCGCTACATCAGGTAATTTTCTCACCTGCCTCTGCGACGGCAGCGCCTACGAGGTCCCTCCTTGCCAGGTGCCTCCAGGACCTTCTCCGGTCAAACCTGGACTCCTTCCCGGCGCAGCTCGCCCCATCTCCGGGTTCTGTTTGCTCCCATTCCCCGAAACTTCATTATTCCGACGCACCTACAGGGGAATTTCCCAGTCCCAGGAGAAAGGGCTCTTTCTTGGTGGCGACTTCACGCCTCTGGAATGAGGAAGGAGCTGGGGAAGGAAAGGAGGAGCCGCAGCTGAGCCCAGGTCGCTCCCCCGCAGGTTCCAGCTGCCTCTCCGAAGCGTGTGTGGGAGCAGCAAGGACCCAAGGGTACAGGAATTGAAGAACTGCCTTGATCGCAGAGGTGAGACTTCCCCGCTGCTCTTCAGGCTTTGCCCCCATGGCTTAGCGGCTTCCACCTGACAGTTTTCTTTACCTGAGCCTTTTCCCCTGCGACTGCAACATTCCTAGAACCTTCTTCTGATCCTGTCCAAAGCACTTAGACTCTAGTCCCTATTTCCCAAACAGGGTATCATTCACCATCACCTTCATGATTTTTGCCAATTCATTCTACCACGTGTGCTATTGTCTATTTATTAATATTTTTCTTGAAATCAAAGTACTAGTTTTCTTTTCCAATCTTTTATGAAAATTCAGACATATGTAAAAGTTGAAAGAATGGCACAGCGAATATTCAATGCCTCCACCTAGATACTACAATTGTATTTATATATTTTAAATATTTACATGAACATATATTTTACAATATCAGTGTTAGAGCACTGACATGACATTCACTTTATTGCATATCCATCTATTCATCCTTCTGTCCATCATCAATCACCTTGTTTCTTGATGCATTTCAAGGCAGGTTGCAGGCATCATTGTGCTTCACCCCAAAACATCTCAGCATGTATATTAAGTAGCGTTCAATATTTTAACAATCTTTTTTCTTTTGAGTTCAAATTTACATACGGTGAAATGAATTACTTTTAAGTGTGCACAAACCAGTTTTGAAAACTTAAATAGAGGTTGGGCATGGTGGCTCATGCCTGTAATCCCAGCACTTTGGGAGGCTAAGGCAGCGGACCACCTGAAGTCAGGAGTTGGAGCCCAGCCTGACCAATGTGGTGAAACCTTGTCTCTACTAAAAACACAAAATTAGCTGGGCATGGTGGCACGTGCCTGTAATCCCAGCTATTCAGGAGGCTGAGGCAGGAGAATCGCTTGAACCCTGGAGACAGAGGTTGCAGTGAGCTGAGATCACACCATTGCACTCCAGCCAGGGCAACGAAAAAAAAGAAAAAAACAAGAAAATTTAAATAGCAAATTATCCTAAGCAATAACCTCTGTGAAGTCACAAGTTTAATGCACTGGTTGTATTTTTCTCCTAAAATAAATATACAACCATTAAAATGCCAAGGGTTCTTCCATGAGCTAGTTAAACTTTTGTAGCATCAGCATCACCTATACTGCCTTTAAGTCTGCCCAGACCTGTATGATTTCCTTTAATCCTCCCAGCTACCCTGGCCCTTGGTACTACAATTATCCTCATTTTATAGCTAGAAGAAATAAGTTCCAGAGAAGTGGGAGACAAGGGGCGAGGTTACACAGCTGCTGGAGGCTTCAAAGCTACTTGAGGTTACACAGCTACTTTACAGCAGAGCCAGGACTCCAGCCTTGGTCTCCTGACTTCCCGGTTTATGATACACACTTGTCTCGTGGTTGGCTCACTTCCTTGTTCCCTACCTTTTCTCTCTGTCACCGTCTTCCTCTTCTGGCTTTCAGCTTGATATTCTCCCTGACTCACTCCTCTTCCCTCCGTTGGAGCTCAGAACACGACACCCCAAAACATGGTACCTTGGTAATTAAGAAAACAGCAGTTGTAGGCCAGGTGCAGTGGCTCACACCTGTAATCCCAGCACTTTGGGAGGCCGAGACAGGCAGATCACCTAAGGTCAGTAGTTCGAGACCAGCCTGGCCAACATGGTGAAATTCCATCTCTACTAAAAATACAAAAAAAAAAAAAAAAAAATTACCTGGGCATGGTGGCACACACCTGTAATCCCAGCTACTCGGGAGGCTGAGGCAGGAGAATCGCTTGAGCCCAGGAGGCAGAGGGTGCAGTGAGCTGAGACCATGCCATTGCACTCCAGCCTGGGCGACAAGAACAAAACTCGGTCTCAAAAACAAAAACAAACAAACAAAAAACCCCAGCAGAAGTAAGTAGCTCACTCTGCTCTCTCCATTTCTCTGTGAGATCTGGCCATAAAGGAATTCTATGACTTCTCCTGGAAGTAGGTCATAAGGCCGTCATTTCAGAGGGGTCCTGCCCTATACTTGGAGGCCAAGAAGAATCTGGACAGGCCTTGCTGTCCTCCCAAAGCCAACATTTATTACCATTAGATCCTACTCTTTTTGTCCAATCATACGTTTTTGTTTTTTCTGAGACGGAGTTTCACTTTTGTTGGCCCAGGCTGGAGTACAATGGTGCAATCTCAGCTCGCCTCAACCTCTGCCACCCGCATTCAAGCGATTCTCCTGCCTCAGCCTCTCGATAGCTGGGATTACAGGCATGCACCACCATGCCCCGCTAATTTTTGTATATTTAGTAGTAGAGATGGGATTGGTCAGGCTGGTCTCCAACTCCTGATCTCAGGTGATCCACCAGACTCAGCCTCCTAAAGTGCTGGATTACAGGCGTGAGCCACCACACCCAGCCTACTTCTTTTTTTTTGAGACTGAGTCCACTCTGTTGCCCAGGCTGGAGTGCAGTGGTGTGATGTCAGCTCACTGCAACCTCCCGGGTTACCGATTTTCCTTGCGTAGCTAGGACTACAAGCACCCGCCGTCACGCCTAATTTTTTGTATTTTAGTAGAGACAGGGTTTCACCATGTTGCCCAGGCTGGTTTTGAACTCCTGACCTCAGGTGATCCACCCACCTTATCCTCCCTAAGTGCTGGGATTACAGGCATGAGCCATTGAACCCAGCCTGTCCAATCATACTTCTATACAATGGTCCATTCTTCAGCAAGCCTAAGCATAAAAATACACTTTTTCCTGGGTCTTTGAGTCTTCATTTCTGAAGGTTCCTATGTGATATAAAACTTAGATGAAATAAATGTTAGGCTTTTCTCGTTAATGTTTTTTGTTTATAGGGGTATCATCAGCCTTGACTGTTGTCATGCATGAGGAAAAGATATTACTTTTCCTCCCCCACACCTCTATCTGGTTTTTCACTTTGTCCCCTAATGGTCCTGATTCCTCATTTATTTCCTCTTCAGAATGCGGACATGGTTACTTGGGGAGTGCAGCCCACCAGGAGCATTTGCCTTCTACCAGCCCCCCTACTTCTCGGGCTTCAGAGGGGACAGCTTCAGACATCCGTACCCCTGCCCAGATGCTCCTGTCCACCTTGCAGCCCACCCACTCACCAGGATCACCATCCTTGGACAAAGAGCTCACCCATCCCAGTGAAACCACCATTCCCACTGCTGGCCACAATCTAGGAGTTGGACCTGAGGCTGGAGAGAACCAGAAGCAGCTGGAAAAAGCAGCTGATCCTGCAGCCGGGACATCAGCCATAGCACCTGTGCTGTCCCTCCTGGCCATCGTCTTCATCCTCACAGCAGTTCTTTCCTATGTGTTATGCAAGAGGAGGACGGGGCAGTCACCGCAGTCCCCTCCAGGTAAACTGGACCTCTGAACCCTTCCCCCTGGGACCCCGAGCCTTCCTGACAGGGATCCTGACCCAGTAGCTCTCAGGTGGCTGGAACCGTGGCCTTGGCACGCAAATATCAAGGCTGTCTGCACAAGTTGACTGCAGGCCCTCTGAGGACAGTCAGCCAGGGACTGTAGAGAGTGGAGAGGGAAGGAAGCAACCATGGGCACAAGGACTAGTGCTTGGAGCAACATCATGGAGAAGATGGCTAGAGCAAGCTAGTGGGAGACAAAGCTGTGGAGGGAGGTGAGAGCCAGTCATTCAATTCACAGATTTTCACTGAGCACCTACTGTGGGCCAGGTCATAGGGTTAATGTCTTGAAGTCTGATTCCCTAGTTCAAGCTATCATGCCCCCATCACTCTCCTTGATCTCAGAGCTCATTTCTCAATTTCTTTATCCTTTCCAGATTTGCAGCTTTATTATACACCTGTGGCACCTGACTCTAATATCTGAGGTAAGAATGTGAGCTCGTGAGGGTAAATTGTGGTTTACTTTCATAAAAAGTATAATAAATGAGACCAATCACTGACAACATGGTAGGCACTGTATACATACCTGTGTTTTTCTGTTTTTAGAAATGGGCTCTCACTATGTCGCCCAGGCCGTTCTGGAACTCATGTCAAGTGATCCACCCATCTTGGCCTCCTGAAGTGTGAGGATTATAGTCGTGGCCTACCACATCCACCCTACATGTATTCACTCTGTTGGAGCTCAGAACGACACCCCAAAACATGGCACCTTGGTAGTTAAGAAAACAGCAGATGTAGGCCAGGCACAGTGGCTCACGCCTGTAATCCCGGCACTATAAAAAATTAGAAATTTTTTAAAATTAAAAAAAAATTTTTAAAAGATTATACTATAAAATCTGCTTTTTATACTGGGTGATAATAACTTGGACAAATTCTATATGTATGTTTCTTCAGCTTTTTGTTTTTTTGAGACAAAGTTTCACTCTTGTTGCCCAGGCTGGAGTGCAATGGTGCGATTTTGGCTCACTGCAACCTCTGCCTCCCAGGTTCAAGTGATTCTCCTGCCTCAGCCTCCCAAACAGCTGGTGAGGAGGGAGACCCAGGCATTTGGGATTCCCTCACCCTCTGTCATCCACTGTGCATCTCAATAAAAGAGAGAGCAGGCCAGCTAGTGCCTCCTGAATCTCCTTCCTGAAAACAACAGGCTAAACCTTGGGGAAACTCTCAAGGTTTTTACTTAAAACAAGATCAAACCAGAAACCTTTTCACATGTGAGTCCTAAAACTATAAACTGGAACCCGTTCATATGTGATTCCTAAAATTGTAAACAGAGACCTTTTCACATGTGAGTCCTAAAACTGTAAACCGGAACCCTTTCATATGTGATTCCTGAAACTGTATACGAGACCTTTTTACATTTGAATCCTAAAACTGTAAACCGGAACCCTTTCATATATAATTCCTGAAACTGTAAACTAAAACCTTTTCACATGTGAGTCCTAAAAATATGAACCTAAGATTCTTCCACGGGTAACATCTAAAGTATAAGCCTATATAAAGGCTGAACCTCCCTTTGTTAGACAAGCTTAGCTGTTAGGCACCTATGCCACCTTGCTCCCAGCTGAAATAAATTCCTTCCTCCTGTATTCAGTGTTCGAGAGATCCTTTCCCGCGGCTGCTACTGCTACACTGGGATTACAGGCTTGTGCCACCGTGCCCAGCTTATTTTTTGTGTTTTTAATAGAGAGGAGGTTTCACCGTGTTAGCCAGGATACTCTTGATCTCCTGACTTAGTGATCCGCCTGCCTTGGCCTCCCAAAGTGCTGAGATTACAGGTGTGAGCCCCCGCCTGTGTATTTTTTTTTTTGAGATGGAATCTTGCTCTGTCTCCCAGTCTGGAGTGCAGTGGTACAATCTTGGCTCACTACAACCTCCACCTCCTGGGTTCAAGCGATTCCTGTACTTCAGCCTCCCAAGTAGCTGGGATTACATGTGCCTGCCACTCCACCCGGCTAATTTTTGTATTTTTAGTAGAGGCAGGGTTTCACCATGTTGGCCAGGTTGGTATCGCACTCCTGACCTCAAGTGATCCGCCTGCCTCAGCCTCCCAAAGTGCTGGGATTACAGCCGTGAGCCACCGTGCCTGACCCTATGTGTTTAACTACTAAAAATTATTTTTATAATGATTGAGTCTTCTTTACAGAGACAACTGGCCTCAGGCCCTTGCACACCCACCATGATTCCTGGGTTCAGTTTCTTTGCGATGGCTCCCCCTCACCCCAACTCTCCCACTATACCAGTTGTTCCTCCTCCACCTCAGCCTTCTTCTGCTTCCTTTACTAGCCCTGCAATGAAGGCCTGGGATTTCCCACCCTCCCTCCTTAGCAGGTGCAGTGCTGGGATGCCATCTGGGCTGGTTTTACTTCCTCAGTCCCTTGCATACCCCAGTAAGACTCTGATCTTCTTTTTATTGTTGTTGCTTTTATTATTAAACTCTAGTTCTTATTTTGTCTCTCCCAGTGAAGAAGAATGTTATCTTCCTTAGGCCAAGTCTGCGTGAAGCCTGAGGCAGAAGCATGAAGTGTTTGAGGAAGTGGGTTGGATGTGTGAGTTTCCATCTCTGTTCAAGCCTGTCAGGGTGTTGGTGGAGTGCAGGGCAGGAGCACTCTGCTGGAGAGGCCAGGGCATAGCTCTGGGCAGGCTCGGGCTTCAGTTTTTCCATGCCCACCATTTGCTCCTTTGTCTTTGACAGAGTTTCACGAAGTTGGCCAGGCTAGTCTCGAACTCCCGACCTCATGTGATCTTCCAGCCTTGGCCTCCCCAAGTGTACTTTGACCAGCAGGGCATGTAGGTGCCCATGCTCCCTATCCTACATGTTCCCAGGTTCTGTCCCATGGTGCAGGCGATGGTCTCCCTCTGAGCTCTGGATCCACCTCCCTGGCCTAGTTCTCCAGCATCTGCTCACAGGTTCGAGCCACATCACTGAGCTTGAGGCGGGCATAGTCTACTCGCTTCAGAGCCATCTGACAGTCCTTCCTTGAAGAGTAGCTGGAGCCCTCATGGGGCTGCCCTGTGGCCACCTACAAGACAGACTATCAATGGAGCACCATCTCCTTTGCCCTTACTCCAACCAGGCATCAGGTCTCGTCTCATTTCTTTCCTGAGTTTGAATTTGTTATGCCGGATGGTAGCTGGATAAATAAATCATTTAACTTATGCTAATCTTCTCTGTAAAATGGGGGTGATGATAACTGCTTATTAGAGTTGTTGAGGATTAGATAAAATAATGCAGAGTATCTGGCACACCGTAAATATTAGTAAATGGCAGTGGTCCTTGTGACAACCTCATAATGTTCTCAATCCTGTCCCTCTTCTCAGGACAGAAGATCTGGGGGCCAAGTGATAGAAGTGCTGGGGGCCAGCCTCACGCCTGTAATCCCAGCACTTTGGGAGGCCGAGGCGGGCAGATCAGAAGGTCAGGAGATTGAGACCATCCTGGCTAACACGGTGAAACCCTGTTGCCCAGAGATGTTGACCATCTCTGGGCAACAGAGCGAGACTCAGTCTTAAAAAAAAAAAAGTAACTGGGACCTCATGCCCTTGAAGGTCAAGCTAAATTTCCAATGACAAAGTTCTGTAGTTCTAGTATTATTTACAAGCCTTCACCCAGGCACATGTGATGTTACCCAGTGAGGTATGCAGGGCTGCCTTTAATTCTTTCTTTTCATTTTTATTTTTTTGAGACAGAGTTTTTGCTCTGTTGCCCAGACTGGAGTACAATGGCATGATCTTGGCTAACTGCAACCTCTACCTCCTGGGTTCAAGTGATTCTCCTTCCTCAGCCTCCCGAGTAGCTGGGACTATAGGTCCCTGCCACCACACCCAGCTTTTCTTTTCTTTTCTTTTTTATTCTTTTGAGACAGAGTCGCACTCTGTTGCCCAGGCTGGAGTGCAATGGTGCAATTTTGGCTCACTGAAACCTCTGCCTCTCGGGTTCAAGTGATTCTCCTACCTCAGCTTCCCAGATAGCTGGGACTACAGGCGCCCGCCACCACGCCCAGCTAATTTTTTTTATTTTTAGTAGAGACAGAGTTTCACCATGTTGGCCAGGCTGGTCTCGAACTCTTGATCTCAGGTCATCCACCCACCTTGGCCTCCCAAAGTGCTAGGATTACAGGTATGAGCCACCGCGCCCGGCCACTTCTTTCCTTTTAAAGGAAGAAACCGGCTCTGGACGGCCGGCTGGGAAGGTTTGGTCCTGCCTAGTTAATGCTCCATCCGGGATCACCTAAGGCTGAGGCTTTGACCCAGAGCTGGGGTCCGCTCGCAGCACCTCCCAGACACACCCACCTGGGTGAGGTAGCGAATCTGAGCTGACAGCTCCGCCTCCACGTGTTGCACTGAAGCGGTGAAGGCCGCCGCCTGCCGGTCTAGAAGCCGCTCGTTGGTTTTTTCCTTGGACAACTCTAGGATCACTGTACCTGCCAGGGCGGAGAGGGGGCGAGGACACCCGGAGACAGCCAGTGTAGCCCCGCCCCAGGGCCAGCCCTTCTCAGTCCCGCCCTTTAGCTGCGCACGCACGTAGGAGAATTCCCTCCCCAACCCTGCTGCAAGTTCCCGGTCAGCCTGTGGGTGCAGCTCGGCCTCGTTTTCGCTCCCCGCCGTCCGGGTTGTCGCATCCCAAACCTGCATTCTGAAGGATGGCGCCGATTTCCCGTTCGATGTCTTCCAGGGCGCGTAGTCGCTCGTTCGCCAGGCTGTAGGTAGCCATTATCACTCCGGGAATCCTCAGAAGTTTCCCTTGAGAAACGCAGCGCTTGTTCCGGAACTGACTATCGGTGTGCGCCTGCGCAGGGGGCACCGTGCAGCGAGCACTACAATTCCCAGGGTGCTCAGCGCAGCCTCGCCCTCTCTGTCCACCTGGCGAACTACAACTCCCAGGATCCACTGCGCCTTAGCCACGGGACCACCTGTAGTCAGAGGTGTCAATGAAATATCTTCTTGCCCGAGGCCATTTAGACCTGTCCACCTTCTTAACACCGTCTGTGGCCTCTATTTTGTTTATTCTACACGAGTTTATTTATTTCTTTCTTTATTTTTTTTTTGAGACGGAATTTCGCTCTTGTTACCCAGGCTGGAGTGCAATGGAGCGATCTCGGCTCACCGCAACCTCCGCCTCCTGGGTTCAAGCAATACTCCTGCCTCAGCCTCCCGATATTTCGTTATTTATGAGACAGAGTCTCACTGTCTCCCAGGCTGGAGTGCAATGGGACGATCTCGCTCACTGCAACCTCCACCTCCTTGATTCAAGCGGTTCTCCTGCCTCATCCTCCCGAGTAGCTGGGATCACAGGCGCGCGCCACCACGCCTGGCTAATTTTTGTATTTTTAGTAGAGACGGGGTTTCACCGTATTGTCCAGGCTGGTCTTGACTCCTGACCTCAAGTTACCCGCCCGCCTTGGCCTCCCAAAGTGCTGGAATTACAGATGTGAGCTGAATCTTAAAGGTTAACTACGTGGATGACAGCTTGTAGTGGAAAAGAGAGACGGCATAGGCAAAGAGGTATGGTGCTGTGACGGGCCCCCACACATGTGGAGTCCAGCAAGGAATTCCGTCTGTCTGGATTGAATAGTGCGTGGTGGTGGTGGTTAGGTGTGACAATGGTGAGGCTGGGGGTAGGAGCTGAATGAGGAAAAGGCTTGCAAGCTAAGTATTTTGGGCTTGAATCTGAAGGCCTTTGGTAGGCTTTAAAGGGTTTTTATGAAGTGTTATGACCAGAATTACCTTTTTTAGAAAGATCACTTGTAACAGTTTATACAAGATTATCAAGAATGAAACCAGTTTGCCCAAAGTTAGGAAATGAAGGTTAGACACGGTTAAACTGAATGTTCTAGCCTGGGCTATGTAGTGAGATACTGTCTTTACAAAAGGATTTTGGGGCTGGGCATGGTGGCTTAAACTGTAATTTCAGTTCTATGGGAGGCTGAGGCAGAAGGATTGCTTGAGCTAAGGACTTTGAGACCAGCTGGGTAATATAGTGAGACCCCGTCTCTCTCTTTTTTTTTTTTACTTTTGAGAGGGAGTCTTTCTTACTTTGTCGTCCAGGCTGGAGTGCAGTGGCACGATCTCGGCTCACTGCAACCTCTGCCTCCTGGGTTCAAACAATTCTCCTGCCTCATCCTCCCAAGTAGCTGGGATTACAGGTGCCTGAAACCACGTCTGGCTAATTTTTGTATTTTAGTGGAGACAGGGTTTCACTATGTAGGTCAAGCTTGTTCAAAACTCCTGACCACAAATGATCTGCCCACCTTGGCCTCCCAGAGTGCTAGGATGACAGGTGTAGGTACCGCGTCCAGCCTTTGACCCCATCTTTTACATTTAAAAAATAAAAATATAAGCCGGGCGCAGTGGCTCATGCCTGTAATCCCAGCACTTTGGGAGGCTGAGGTCAGGAGTTCGAGACCAGCCTGACCAATATGGTGAAACCCCATTTTAAAAAATAAATCAATAAAAATAAAAATATAAGAAACATTTTAAAAATTAGCCAGGCTTGTTGGCTGATGCCTGTATTCCCAGCTTCTTGGGAGGCTGAGATGGTAGGATTTCTTGAGTCTGCAGTGAGCCATTGATTGTGCCACTGCACTCTAGCTTGGGTGACAGAGCAAGACCCTGTCTCAAAAAGCAAAAAACTACCATCCTGGTCAACATAGTAAAATCACGTCTCTACTAAAAATAAAAATAAAAAATTAGCTGGGCCTGGTCGTGCATGCCTGTAATCCCAGCTACTCAGGAGGCTGAGGCAGGAGAATCACTTGAACCAGGGAGTTGGAGGTTGCAGTGAGCCAAGATCACGCCACTGCACTCCAGCCTGGGCGACAAGAGTGAGACTCCATCTCAAAAAAAAAAAAAAAATTAAAAGACAAAAAACAAAAAACTTGATGGGTCTGGCATTTTAATTAATTCTTCCCTAAATCCTAATAAAATAACAGTAAAGTTGCTTTTTTTTTTTTTTTTTTTTTTCAATTTTATTTTTTGAGGCAAAGCCTCACTCTGCTGCCCAGGCTGGAATGCTGTGACTCAATCATGGGTCACTGCAGCCTCAAACTCCCAGAAAGGGAGAGGAGTTAATAGCGAAACTTTAGACAGATGCTGGAAAACAGACTGATTTTGCCATGAAGTAGTAACTAAGCCAGCAGCAAAGAAAGCTTACAAGCAACCTGATTTACCCTGAAATTAATAGCATCATGTACAACTGGGGCAAAAGTGGTACTAAAATTAGGATTATTTGAAGTGAGACTCCAGATCTCTTTATTGACTCTGTATATCTTGGCAACTGATCTCCCCCAACCCATCAGAATACTGGAGGTTTCTTTGTTGGAAATGGAAAACAAGTTTTTAGCTTAGAGAACACCTGGGTACAGTTGAGGGCAAGAGTACTGCATTGAAAACACAGATGAAGTGAAAGTTTAGGGCCAGGCAAGTTGACTCATGCCTGTAATTCTAGCACTTTTGGAGGCTGAGTCTTGAGCCTAGGAGACCAGCCGGGGAAACATAGTGGGACCCCACCTCTACAAAACATACAAAAATAGTCCCAGCTCCTTGGGGAGGGTTGAGGTGGGAAGATTGCTTGAGCCTGGGAGTTTAAGAGTGCAGGAGTCCTGATCATGCCACTGCACTCCAGCCTGAGTGACAGAATGAGACCCTGTATCAAAAGAGAAAAAGAAAAAAAAGGCCGGGCTCGGTGGCTGATGTCTGTAATCCCCGCACTTTGGGAGGCCCAGGCAGGAGGATCATGAGGTCAGGAGTTTGAGACCAGCCTGGCCAACATGGTGAAACCCTGTCTCTACTAAAAATACAAATATTAGCTGGGCGTGGTGGCGTGCACCTGTAGTCCCAGCTACTCAGGAAGCTGAGGCAGGAGAATCGCTTGAACCCAGGAGGCGGACGTTTTAGTGAGCCTAGATTGCGCCACTGCACTCCAGTCTCAGCAACAGAGCAAGACTCCATCACAAACACACAAAAAAAGTGAAAGTTTAAGGCTGGACGAGGTGGCTCACGCCTATAATCCCAGCACTTTGGGAGGCCGAGGTGGGTGGATCACGAGGTCAAGAGATCAAGACCATCGTGGTCAACAAGGTGAAACCCCGTCTCTACTAAAAATACAAAAATTAGCTGGGCGTGGTGGTGCGCGCCTGTAGTCCCAGCTGCTCGGGAGGCTGAAGCAGGAGTATTGCTTGAACCCAGGAGGTGGAGGTTGTGGTGAGCCGAGATCGTGCCATTGCACTCCAGTCTGGGTAACAACAGTGAAACTGTGTCTCAAAAAAAAAAAAAGCGAAAGTTTATATACTGAGTGGTAGTTTCCAGAACTCCAGCAACAAGGCTTATACTTTCCAGGTGAGAGACTGGAAGACTCTTCTCTGGGGAATTTGATTAGTGAGAAAAGACCTCAGTATATGAACATCAGTATATGAACCAGTGAGTTGGCCAGATCACTTCATAGTGAAACTCACAGTTGGTAAGTCCCAACTGTGTACATGGAAACTCTAGTCAACTTCTTAGCACCTCACTCTTTTTTTTTTTTTTTTTTTTTTTAATTTCTTGAGATAGGGTCTCTCTCTTGTAACCCAGGCTGGAGTGCAGTGGCTCAATCATAGCTCACTGTAGCCCTGAACTCCTGGGCTCAAGTGATCTTCCTGTCTCAGCCTCCTGCATAGCTGGGACTACAGATGTGAGCTACTATGCCATGCTAAGCACGCGCTCCTAAATGTCAGCAGAAAGCAAATAAATCTAGGTATTTAAATAAACATTTTGGCCGGGCACGGTGTCTCACACCTGTAATTCCAGCACTTTGGGAGGCTGAGGTGGGTGTATCCCGAGGTCAGGAGTTCGAGACCAGCCTGACCAACATGGAGAAATCCAGTCTCTACTAAAAATACAAAATTAGCCAGGAGTGGTGGCGCATGCCTGTAATCCCAGCTACTCGGGAGGCTGAGGCAGGAGAATGACTAGAACCCAGGAGGCGGAGGTCGTGGTGAGCTGAGATCATACCACTGCACTCCATCCTGGGCAACAAGAGCGAAACTCTGTCTCAAAAAAGAAAGAAAGAAACTTCCTAACATGAAAGAATCCAAAATAAAAAGGGGGCGGTGGGGACAACTATTGAAGCTCTTAGGTAGTATAAAAAAAGGATTGAATCCAAAAAAGCACCCTTGGCCAGGTGTGATAACTTACATCTGTAATCCCAGCACTTTTAGAGGCTGAGGCAGGTGGATCACCTGAGGTCAGCAGTTCAAGACCAGCGTGGCTGTCTCAACTAAAAATGCCAAAATTAGCGAGGTGTGGTGGCACGAGCCTGTAGTCCCAGCCACTTGGGAGGCTGAGGCAGGAAAATTGCTTACCCAGGAGGTAGAGGTTGCAGTGAGCTGAGATCCCACCACAGCACTCTGGCCTGGGTGACAGAGCAAGACCTTGTTGGTCTCACTGGTCTCAAACCCTTGATCTCAAGTGATCCGCCCACCTTGGCCTCCCAAAGTGCTGGGATAACAGGTGTAAGCCACCGCACCTGGCCCCAACATAGATTTTCTTTTCTTTTTCTTTTTTTCTTTTCCTTTCTCCCCTCCCCTCCCCTCCCCTCCCCTCCCCTCCTCTCTTCTCCTTTTTTTCCTTCCCTTCCCTCCCCTCCCCTCCCCTCCCCTCCCCTCCTCTCTTCTCCTTTTTTTCCTTCCCTTCCTTCCCCTCCCCTCCACCCCCTCCCCTCCCCTCCCCTTCTCTTCGAGACAGAGCTTTGCTCTATCACCCAGGCTGAAGTGCAGTGGTGCCATCTCAGCTCACTGCAACCTCCGCCTCCCAGGTTCAAGCAGTTCTCATGCCTCAAACTCTCGAGTAGCTGGGATTACAGGTGAGTGCTACCACACCCAGCTAATTTTTTTGTATTTTTAGTAGAGACAGGATTTTGCCATGTTGGACATGGTGGTCTCGAACTCCTGGCCTCAAGAGATCCACCCACCTCACCATCTCAAAATGCTGGTATTACAGGCATGAGCCACCATGCCTGGCCTCCAGCATAGAATTCTGCACTCCTCAACTTAGCCATGTCACGTTGAAGGCTAAGGATGCCGTGACTCAACAAAATAGGGCTTGCTTCTCATAAAACAGTTCAATGTGGGCAATTCAGTGTGCTCCATGGATCACACAGGGACTAGGGCTAGCAGTGCAGCTCTGCCATCCTTTAGGGTCTTATACTCAAAAGTGTAGTCTCCAACCAGCAGCAGTAGCTTAACCTTACCTAGAAAACTGTCAGAAATGCACCATCTCAGTTCCCATCCCAGGCCTTCTGAATCTGTATCTATGTTTGAAGATCACCAGGTGATTTGTAGTCAGGTTTGAGAAATACTGCTCTAGGGAATTGTTGTTTGCCTTGTCAAAACTGGGTTGCTGCCCTTCTTGGGGCAGCTAGCAGGAAGGGGAAAATGAAAATGAGGAGGCTTAGGGGTCTGGCTAGTAAGTGGCCCATCATTTCTATTCACTTACCATTGAAAATTTAGTCATGGCTGGGCACTGCTGTGGCTCACACCTATAATCCTAGCACTTTGGGAGGCCGAGGTGGGTGGATCACCTGAGGTCAGGAGTTCAAGATCAGCCTGGCCATCATGGTGAAACCCCATCTTAAAGAAAAAAAAAAAATTAAAAAAAAAAAGAAAATTTAGTCATATGATCTTACCTAACTCCTGGGTCCTGGGAAATCCATTTTGTACCAAAGTGGCCAGCTGTCATTTCACTACCAAGGAAGAATAGATCTTAGAGGATATCTAGAGTCTCACAAAGTCAGTACCTGAATTACTAAGGTAGAATAAAGACTTCTTTTGTTTTTGAGACGGAGTTTTGCTCTTGTTTCCCAGGCTGGAGTGCAATGGTATGATCTCAACTCACCACAACCTCTGCCTCCTAGGTTCAAGTGATTCCCTTGCCTCAGTCTCCTGAGTAGCTGGGATTACAGGCATGTGCTACCACACCCAGCTAATTTTATATTTTCAGTAGAGACAGGGTTACTCCATGTTGGTCAGGCTGGTCTCGAATTCCTGACCTCAAGTGGTTTGCCTGCCTCGGCCTCCCAAAGTGCTGGGATTACAAGCATGAGCCACTATACCCAGCTGAATAAAGACATTTTGATATGTACAAGGTCTCCACATTTTTCTCATATGTGTGCCCTGTTTCATGAAGTTCTTAGAGTTAAACCCAGAAGAGGAAGATATGAGATCCAGGATCTAAGGCCAATTCATGAGAGGTGAATGGAAACCCCAGGAGTATGGTGAAGGGAAATCCAAGGGCCAGGCATGAAGAATAACCAGTTGAGAATGGAACCAACTAGAAGGATCCCGGAGAGATTTCGTCAAGAAGATGAAAGAGATGAATATCTGTTTGGAATGAATTGAGAGGATAAATAGATTTTTGAGGGAGAGTATGGGACTGATAACAGATAAATGTTGAGAATAAGCAAATTAAATGAAATTATTCAGGGAAAACAAAGTTTTATAAGGGGAGAAGAGTAATTATAATATGTCACATAACTCAGCTATGAATAACATTTGCATAGGCAATTAGATACTGAATATTGAGTGAACCCCAATTGATACAATTATCTTGGGAATATAGGTGGGATATAGGGGAGGATGGAAAGTATTTCATGATGAGGGGGTTGCAAAAGGGAGCTCTATTTTCACCTTATGTAGTGGGAAACCAGTAGATGATGCTTAAAACAAAAATCAAGTTGTGCGTGGTGGTTCATGCCTATAATCCCAGCACTTTGGGAGGCCAAGGTGGGCAGATCACCTGAAGTCAGGAGTTTGAGACCATCCTGGCCAACATGGTGAAACTTCATCTCTACTAAAAGTATAAAATTAGCTGTGCTTGGTGGTGGGCATCTGTAGTCCCAGCTACTCGGGAGGCTGAGGGAGGAGAATCACTTGAACCTGGGAGGCGAAAGTTATAGTGAGCCGAGATCACACCACTGCATAACAGAGCGCGATTGTGTCTCAAACAAAAACAAAAATCAAGAAGTCACAAATAAGCACCTTTAGAGATAGGGAGATAAATGCCAAAATAAATATCTAAAGGCGGTGAAAGGCTGGGCATAGGCAGAAGCAACATAAGGAGACCCCATCTCTACAAAAAAATTTAAAAACTAGCTGGGCATGGTGTCTTGCACCTGTAAGTCCCAGTTACTTGGGAGGCTGAGCTAGGAGGATCTCCTGAGCCTGGGACATCGAGGAGGCTCCAATGAGCTGTGATCCAGCCAGTGCATTCCAGCCTGGGTGACAGAGCAAGACCCTGTCTCAAAAAAAAAAAAAAAAAAAAAAAGAGGTGAAAGTAGTTTCCTCTGAGGAGAAGGAAATTAGAGGGGGAAGAGTCTGCTTTTTATTGTAATAGGTCTTATAGGACTATCTGATTCCTCAAACTATGTGTGTATGTAACTTTGAAAACAATAAGAAAAGAAGCAATGAAAAGTAAGAGAGGGCCGGGCATGGTGGCTCACGACTATAATCTGAGCACTTTGGGAGGCTGAGGTGGGCAGATCACCTGAGGCTGGGGGTTCAAGACCAGCCTGACCAACATGGAGAAACCTTGTCTCTACTAAAAATACAAAAATTAGCTAGGCATGGTGGGCAGGTGCCTGTAATTCAAGCTACTTGGGAGGCTGAGGCTGGAGAATCACTTGAACCCAGGAGGCGGAGGTTGCAGTGAGCTGAGATCATATCATTGCACTCCAGCCTGGGTCATAAGAGCAAAACTGTCTCAGAAATAACAAAAACAATAACAAAAAGCAAATAAGAAAGGAAATAAGTGTAGAGGAGAGAGTTTTTTTGATTGTCTCCTTTCCTTCTTCCTCTTTTTTTTCTTCCTCCCTCCCTCCTTCCTTAAATGGAGACTTATGTGGGCTTCTTTATGGAGGAAGAGCCATAGACACAGGTTGGAGAGGGGTGTGGTTTGGTGAATCAAGGTCTCAGTGGAGGTGGGAGGAGAGTGATCTGAGCACAGGTGGAGGGATCAGCTTTGAACTGGAGAAGGCATCTTAACCTTGGTTGTGTAGGAGCATTGGTGTAGATGTCATTGTCAGTAGGAGGTGGGAAATTGAAATCATTCATCTTTCCTTGCCTAATCTCTGTGAAAAACAGAAGTCACTTTGAGCATGAGGAAGGTAGAAAATGAGTGCATAGGTAGCCTGTTTGGGGGTCTCTTCATTCAGAGTTTGCGTTTTAACATTGGGTGCCCAGCTTGGGTTAGAGACCATACATGTTAGCAGCTCGAGATTCATACCCAGTGTCTGGTACCTAGAATATATTCAAAATAGTTTATTGGCTGGGCTTGGTGGCTCATGCCTGTAATCCCAGCACTTTGGGAGGCCAAAGCAGGTGGATTACACGAGGTCAGGAGTTCAAGACCAGCCTGGCTGACATGGTAAAACCCCTTCTCTACTAAAAATACAAACAGCCAGGCTGGGTGGCATGTGCCTGTAGTCCCAGCTACTGGGGAGACAGGCAGGAGAATTATTTAAACCCAGGAGGCGGAGGTTGCGGTAAGGCGAGATTATGCCACTGCACTCTAGCCTGGGTGATACAGGGACAACTCTGCCTCAAAAAAAAAAAGTAATTTAAAAAATTTTGTTGAATGATTTTTCTCTGGTAGTGAGCATCAACCCGTGTGTTCAGAGTAGAGAAGGGACGGGAGATGGTTGGATGGATCCAGGGTGTGGTTTGAGAAAAGGATTGTGAAAGGCGAGGTGGAGTGTGCTGATGAGATAGGGGTTGGTGTGATGACCCTGAAGTACAGGGTGGAAAGAAAAGGAAGTGTCAAGTAGTGAGAAAACAGAAGGGCCAAGAGCTTTGTGATAAAAAACTGAAGAAGCTGGTTTTTTTGTTTTTTAAAGTGGGCTGGGTGCAGTGGCTCACACCTGTAATCCCAGCAGTTTAGTCTCGAGGTCAGGAGTTTGAGTTTTTTTGTTTGTTTGTTTTTACTGTCAAAGGTCCTGTTTATTCTGGCAAACCGGAAAGAAAAAGTGTAAATAAAAAAAGAGACATATCCATGCACTCAAATCCTGGGGGTGGGGGTGTGGAGTGAGGGATGAGGAATGGGTGGGAAGCAAGGAGGGAGGGATGGAAGGACAGAGTGAGAGAGGCAGAGTCAGGGAAAGAGAACTGGAGAACCAGAGCCATAAAAAGAAAGACATCCACAAAAAGGCGGAAAGAAAGAAGTGATGTTTTAAAAGCAGAGATCAATAAAGGAGAAGAGTGGATATTGAGAAAATGGAAATACACAGGCAGAGAACAAAAGCCCGGCAAAAAGTGGGGGAGAGATGGTGTGACAGAGAGAGATCACCCTTGAGGGATACAGGCGGAATGAAAGGCCCACCCCACCGCCCCCAGAGGCCCCCCAGGCAGCAGCCTGAGCCATGGCAGTGGCTCAGGGGTCCCCAGAGGTGCTGATGACGTGGGACAGGGTGACATTGTAGAGCACCTGGTGGCCGTTGTTCCAGGTATAGAGGGTGCGCTCCCGGGGATCGTAATCCAGGATTGAGATGTGGGAATACTGGTTGTGGAAGGGCACATCCGTGTACTCGTAACTGGATGTATCCGTGAAATAGGCGAAGTAGCTCTTGGCCCCGGCCAGGTGGGAGTTGGTCACGTAGAGCACACCGCAGATCATGAAGGCCTCGCCAGCACTGTGCTTGGGGTAGCCAGTGTCCCAGGACCGCATGACCTCGAGGGTGTGCGGGTCCAGCCGGCTGACCACGATGTTGCCCGCATTTTGGTTGGTGGTGTACACGGCCCAGAGCCCACTCTCATCTACCATGAAGTCCATGTCGGAGAAGCCGCCTCAGGAGTAGGGGAAAGTGTTGTTGTAACCGGCGCCTGGAAGGCTCCTTTGCACCAGCACGGAGCGCAAGCGGAAGTGGTATGGCCAATATGGCGAAAACCTGTCTTTACTAAAAATACAAAAAATTAGCCGGGCGTGGTGGAGCGCACCTGTAATCCCAGCTACTCCAGAGGCTGAGGCAGAAGAATCACTTGAACCCACGATCTCGGCCGAGATCGCAGTGAGCCGAGATCGCGCCACTGCACTCCAGCCTGGGTGACACCTGGGTGACAGAGTGAGACTCTGTCTCAAACAACAACAGTAATAAAAATTGGCTATTGTAACTGATGACATGAAAATAAAAAATTTTCCTAGTGTATGAACCTAAAACACAAAAAGAACTTTTTGTTGTTTGAGCCAGAGTTTTGCTCTTGTTGCCTGACCTCAGGTGATCTGCTCACCTCGGCCTCCCAAAGTGCTGGGATTACAGGTGTGAGCCACCATGCCTGGCCCCAACATATAATTTTTTTTTGCTTTTTTCTTTTTCTGGAGACAGAGACTTGCTCTAGCACCCAGGCTGGAGTGCAGTGGTGCCATCTCAGCTCACTGCAACCTCTGCCTCCTGGGTTCAAGTGATTCTCCAGCCTCAGCCTCCCGAATAGCTGGGATTAGAGGCACCCCCGACCAGGCCCAGCTAGTTTTTTGTATTTTTAGTAGAGATGGGGTTTCACTATGTTGGCCAGGCTGGTCTCAAACTCCTGACCTCAGGTGATCCACCCACCTCAGTCTCCCAAAGTGCTGGGATTACAGGAGTGAGCCACTGTGCCTGAAGGAAAAAAATTTTTTAAAAATGTATGTATTATCAAAAATACAGGAAGCCAAATGTTTGGAACTAGACAGAGGTGATGGTTGTACAATATTGTGAATATACTGAATACCATTGAATTAGACACATTTATTTATTTATTTATTGAGATAGAGTTTCGCTCTTGTCATCCAGGCTGGAGTGCAATGGCGAGATCTAGGCTGTACTAGAAATATAAAAATTAGTCGGGCATCATGGTACGCACCTGTAATCCCTCAGGAGGCTGAGGCAGGAGAATGGCTTGAACCCGGGAGGTGGTGCAGTGAGCTGAGATCATGCCATTTTACTCCAGCCTAGGTGACAAAACAAGATTCCATCTCAAATAATAATAATAATAAATAATTTAAAAAATAGAGCAGTTTCTCAAAGAGTGTACTAATTAAAAATCCAGATTTTTGGATTCTTCTTGGGAACTTCCAACTTAGAATCTGGAATGGTAGAGGAGCCAGACTCTGGATATTTACCATGGCACCCCGAGGGTTCTGATTCTCTTGAAAAAATGTTAGCTCCATGGGCTTAGAGGTCAAGGAGCAGGTGCACAGGAATCAGAGGGATGCTGGAGATGGTTTTAGAGGGGATGGTTATTCCACATGAGACAGTGCAGGGTCTGCAGGGGAGGCTGCTGCTGTGGCGGGGTAAGCAAGGTCAGTGGCCTTATGGTAGCACTTGAAGCCTGTCAGTAAACAGCGATTTAACTAGGTGGCATGAGCCATAACATAGACTAAAGGTCGGTGCAAGCCAACCCCATCTGCCTCAGCAGCCAGAAGGAACTACTCTGCTTCTGGCTGTCTCTGTCCCAGTCTCTCTGGCCTCTTTAGGTCCCCACATGTGCTGTTTCCTCCTGCCTACACACGGCACTGCCATACCCCAGAATGCTCATCCCTGCAGAATTCCCAAACTCCCCTTTTCTTTCACTTCTCTGCTTAAAGGTCACTTTCTCAGGGAAATCTTCCCCAAACCAAGCCTAGGTCAGAACTCCCTGTCACACATCCTCTTAGCTCCTATACTTCTCCTCTGAAGCATATTGTAGTTAACTAGGGAGGCTGGGCGTGGTGTCTCATGCCTGTAATCCCAGCACTTTGGGAGGCCGAGGTGGGTGGATCCCTTGAGGTGAGGAATTTGAGAACAGCCTGACCAACATGGTGAAATTCCATCTCTACTAAAAATACATAAATTAGCTGGGCGTGCTGGCAGGCACCTATAATCCCAGCTACTCAGGAGGCTGAGGCAGGAGAATCACTTGAACCTGGGAGGTGGAGGCTGCAGTGAGCCAGGATCGTGCCATTGCACTCCATCCTGGGCAACAGAGCAAGACTCCATCTCAAAAAAAAAAAAAAAAAAAAGGATGGGGGATGAATAAATGTTTGTTTCATTATACTGGTATACTATACCTGGGACCTTCTAGGGACTCAAATCAAGATTATTTATGGAATGAAGGAGTTTTTGGAGAAGAGTTGGGCTTCAGGAGTAGGAGCAGATGATGAAGGTGAGAAATGCTAACTCCCTCCAGCCCAGCCTGGGACTTCGGTCAAGCTTCAGGGAGTCTCTGATGAACATCCCAGGAGCAGCACTAGGATGTGGTCCTTAGGACATGGGCCCAGGGCAGCATGACGTTCTTGCTGCCCAAGCCTCGGCTTCTGTGTTGGAATGTAGGTACCAGACTTCACAGAGACATCATGTGGCTGGTCTGGTGAGGCCTGTGGTTGTGGTCCCACCGAGACTTACAGTTGCTGCTTGAGCAACTATAATGAGCAGTGGAAATGAACACGACTCGGTTACAACAGGTCACAAGGTGGTCATGCAAGTCCGCCGCAACAGGGCAGAGCCTGCCTGCCAGCTCCTGTGAGCACCTCTCTGCAGGGGAGTTAGTTATTATGACCCCTGTAAATGACTAAGTTTACTTTGTGGCCTTAACAAGCCTAACCTTTGAGTTTGGACTAGGTCAAGTTTTGATATTCACACAGGCACAGCACAGTCATCCATTAAACATTTATTGATAGCCTCTGTGTCAGGCGCCTTTTGGCTGCAGAAGAGACTGGGTCCTCCCCCACAAGCTAACAGAATCATGGATAAACACACTGTACGCTCTCTAAACACTACAGAGAAAAAACACACACTCATGCCTAGTAAAAGATTTATTTTCTTCTTTATGCACAGAAACAAAGAAACGGCCTTGTCCTGAAGGGTCTCCTCTTGAAGGAATGGAGGCAGAGAGAGTGAGCATGGGAGGTTTTGGTGTGAGCTTGAATGTGGGAGTTTTGTCTCCCCCTTTCCCTCCTATCACTCTTCTTTTCACTGTACCCTTCCAGAAAAATTAGGTATACACAGCTTGCCACCCACTGCGGGGCTGGAGAAGCAGAACTGCAGTCAAAAAATTAATGCCCACATTCAGCAAGAGATGGGTCCAGTGCATATCTTGGGGGGATGGGAGAGAGAGAGTGAAGGGGTTGGTTGAAGAAGCTGCCAGGTGGAGGGGAAGGGAAAAGAGGCTGGGACAACCCCCCAGTGACAGTGGGGTCTTGGTCCTGCCCCTACCTCTTCCAGCACCATCCACTCCCTTCCTCCAGCCCCCCTTCCTAGCAGAGCTGGTCATCATAGTCGTCATCCTTCATCCCCTTCAGCCGAAGCCGGGCAAAGTCCTCAAATACAATGTCATCATCTGTGGCATAGCTTGGTGGTGGGAAAGAGGGGTGTGAGGTGAGGGCATCTGACTCTTCTCTCAGCCTCCCACTCCTTGCCCTCCCCCAGGCTGGGCCCCTGGGACAGAGGTGTTAGAACAGTGGTGGGACCAGAGATTTTTTTTTTTTTTTTTTTTTTGAGACAGAGTCTCGCTGTCGCCCAGGCTAGAGTGCAATGGAGCACTCTCGGCTCACCGCAACCTCTGCCTCCCAGAATCAAGTGATTCTCCTGCCTCAGCCTCCCAAGTAGCTGGGATCACAGGTGTGTGTTACCACGCCTGGCTGATTTTTTGGCATTTTTATGTAGAGATGGGGTTTCACCATGTTGGTCAGGCTGGTCTGGAACCTGACCTCTTGATCTGCCCGCCTCAGCCTCTCAAAGTGCTGGGATTACAGGTATGAGCCACTGTGCCCCTGGCTGGGACCAGAGGTACTTAGAGGAAGGCACAAAGAAGAGGCAGGAAGAGGCAGCCTCCCAAGGCTAAGGCATCTTGATTTGATGCTACAATCCCCTTCTCCCCGCAAAAAGCAAGGAAGAGGTACGAAGGCAGATGTGAATGTTCCAGGAATCTTTGTCCAAAGAGGGTCAAAGTAGGGGAATGAGTTTCTTACTTGGTATCAAATTCGATGAGGTTGGTGTCCACAGGGACGTCTGTTTCTGGAGCGGCTGAGGGGACAGGAAGAGGGGGTGTGGGGGTGGGTGCTGGAAGGGCCAGCTTTCCTCCACTGGCCCTGCTTCAGGCCCTCCCTCTGAGGGCTTCGGGTGGGTGGTGTGCTCACCTGTCTGGGGTCTAGGGAGGGGGATGTGGTCGTGGGGCTTGGGATGCATGAGAACAAAAGGCAGCTCCACAGAGACATCCCTGGGAAGGGAAGAGGCATCATGAAGAGGACTATGATCCGAACTAGAGAGAGCCGCTGTGACCCCCACCTGGGTTCCCCCATGACACTCACCCGCCTCGAGACACTACCAGCTTCACCTTGACCCTGTAGGACACCAGGATTCCCAGCACCTCCTTGTTGGCACCCTCCTTCACGCTGCCATGGAGAGTGGCAGAGTCAGACCAGGGCCCATCACCCTGTCACCTGGCACCTCACCTTGGGGTTCCCATGGGGACTCTGAGCAGGACCACAAACGTGCACAGACCCCTAGGGTCCCCAGCAGCACAGGCGGTGTGGTTATGGTACAGTGTGCACAGCACTCCCTGCTCGGGGCCTCCTGTGGCTTCTCTCGCACTAAAAGCTGACGTCCTTCTCCTCTAACAGTCCTACACTGTCTGGCTCTCCATTAGCCCCCTGATCCCACCTCTTCCTCCTCCTCTCCTGGTACTTAGTTCTCGATAAGTTACCCTCCAGACCTGCTGTGTGTGGCTGTGCAGTGAGAATCCTGAACAAAGGCACCGACCGGGAGAGGTGAAATCCAGCCCTTTGTGAAGCTGGGGACCTCCAGGGCTGCCTCCGGGTGAGGGTGCGAGGGCACTTCACCATTCCTCCAGGACCCCAGGCTGTCCCACCCGAGTCTCTCTGCCCAGAACCTTCCTTTTCTGCTCATCCACACCGCTTACTTCTGCTCGGTCCTTACTCCGAGTTCACCTTTGCATCTCCCTGCCCCCATCCCTCCCTTCTCTGCCTGGCTTTCTCTCCATACTTGTCACTAAACCTGCTGTACAGTTACCACTGATCAGATTTGTCTATCCTCCCTCCCCTGGAATTCAGAGTTGTTTTGTCTCTTGTGTTCACTGATACATCCCTGGCACCTAGGACATAGCCTGGCACACAGCTGGCACTGACCTCTGACCCCTGGCCTGTGGGGGACCCACCCCAGCCCCACCCTCACATGGTGCTGGAAGCCAGGTTGGTGTCCTCGTGCTTGAGCTTCCCATCCAGGGCAAGACCCCGCTTCTCCCGGTTGTCGCTGAGCAGCGGGGTTATGGTGTACACCTTACAGAACGTGGAGCTGGGAGATACCTGGTCACTAAGGGTGGGGACAAGAGAACAAGATTTTTGGAGGGGCCAGGCTGGGTGTGGGGGCAGCCTGTCACCCCCGAGCAGCATCTCCCCCTCACTACTCCCTTCTCTCTTTGGGCACAGGTCACAAAGGAGTAGGTTTTGGCTCAACATGCTCAAGAAAATTAGCAGCCCAGGGCTGCCTGGCTGTGGAGAGAATAACCTTTTAAGTGGAGATGGTGGCCGGGCATGGGGGCTCACGCCTATAATCCCAGCAGTTTGAGAGGCTTTGGTGGGCAGATCACTTGAGGTCAGGGGTTCAAGACCAGCCTGACCAATAGGGTGAAACCCTGTCTATACTAAAAATACAAAAATTAGCTGGGCATGGTGGCACGTGCCTGTAATCCCAGCTACTTGGGAGGCTGAGGAGAATTGCTTGAACCAGCACCCAGGAGGAGGAGGTTACAGTGAGCCGAGATCACGCCACTGCACTCTAGCCTGGGCTATAGAGTGAGACTCTGCCTCAGAAAAATAAATAAATAAATAAATATTCCTGAGGTCAGCATCATTTTTTTTTTTTAAACTTTACTGTGCTGAGAGGTCAGCATCATTAAAAAAAAAAAAAAAAGCCAGGCATGGTGGTGAGTGCCTGTAATTCCAGCTACTTGGGAGGCTGAGGCAGGAGAATTGCTTGAACCTGAGAGGTGGAGGTTGCAGTGAGCAGAGATCGAGCCATTGCACTCCAGCCTGGGCAACAAGAGCAAAAACTCTGTCTCCAAAGGAAAAAAAAAAAAAAGTGGAGATGGCTCAGGAAGGATTCTCCCCCCACCTCACTTTCTCCTGATCCTGCTCTTCTCCCCTAGATCAGGGCCCAGGTCTCTCCAGATACTCACTCTTGTTCGAGCTGAGCCACAGGACACTTGTACTGGGCGGTGCTGAAGAGGCAGATGTCGGCGTACTGTCTCACTGTGGGGTGGGGCAGGGTCAGGCAGCTCTGGATGGAGTACAGGCCACCACGCCACAATTCCAGACCCTGTGGTGTGGGCCCCCCCATGCTCCCCCCAAAGCAGTAAACACTGAGGCTCCGGTATTATTCTGGAACAACCTAAATTCTTTGAGCCCCGGTGGGTCTCCCGCACTAGGAAATGGCCTGGGTTGAGATCAAACCAGGAGCCACCTTCCAGAACTCCCTCCCCGAAGACCCCCTTCCAAACCCCACCTCCTACCAGAGACTTTGATCTTCTTGACGGTCTTGGTGGAGTTGTTGGTGACGTGGACATTTACACTGAGGGGCTCCCCATGGTAGTACAGCTTTTGGGGGGAGGGGGTCATGTGAATTGGTCCTATCATCAGTGTGTCCCCAAACACAGACACATTGTTCTGGCCCCCTCCCCTCAAACCCAAGCCCACAGCAGCTCTCCACACCCAGCCAAGGCAACCTCCTTTACAAATGTCATCCTGACATGTGGCTTCACCCCTCCCCCAGGGTCTAGACTGCACCGTGGCATCTGTGTCACCCTCTCACACCCCACCTCCTTGTCCAGGGAAGCCTCGAGGTGCAGGGACCGGTCAGACATGAGGAAGTGGCGTGTGGTTTCAGCTGAAGGCTGGGGGCCGGGTTTCTCCGGGGCAAACTGCACCTTTCGGATCACCAGCCGCACAGAGTTCCTGAGACGGGGTGGGGGCAGGAGGGGGTCAGTCCTCACACACCCAAACCCCTACTCCTCCCTCCCACGGGGCCTGGGCTCCTGGAAACGGGGAGGAAACCCCCCTCTATGCCACAGAGGAGGTTGTTTCCCTCACCTTTTGTGGCTTTTCTCTTCTAGTGATTTAGCACAGAAGGCTCGAATCTCAAAGTCTACGCCGCAGGCCTCGGGAGGGGGAGAAAAGGCCACATCTCACCCAGGGCTCCCACCAGCATCGCTCCCCTTCCTTCCTCTCCCTTCCCTCCACTTGGGCAGGGACTCTTCTGTCATTGTGGTCTGACGACCTGGGGGACTAAATCATGGTCGTGCAAGGGGAGCCCCATCCCCAGATCCACGCAGGTCCAGAGAGCAGGCGGCAGTGTCACGCATGCACAGTCACCACATCATACACACCCCACTTCCATGGGGGACACTGGCTGACCTTGGCCCCACCCTGGCATCCTGACAGTTTACCCTCTGGCTCAGCGGTGCCTCCAGGCTCCTATTGGCCCCATCCTGCCCTAGGAGCCCTCAGAGCCATTCCTCCCATACCTTCCCCGTATCCTCTGGTCCTGGCTGCAGTGTGACGGAGCATGGCAGATTCTGGGGTATCTGTGGCAGAGGAAAGGGAAGACTTCAGTTCTTCCAGAAAGTCCCCAGATCTTCCTCCAAATCTCAGGAGGCTGGAGAAAGGACTCCTGGGGAGGAGAAAGGAAGAAGGAAGGGGCCCTAGAGACGAGGCAGAGAATCTAGGGCTTCCTGAATGCACTGGGACCCTGAAGGGGGGTGGATCCAGGGTTCCTGCCTCACTGTTTCTTCCAGATCTGCCCATAATGGGTACCTTACCCCCACCCCAGACACAGTCCCAGACCCCTTGCCCTCAGAGGACAGAGGGCGTCCTCACTGTGAAGAAGAAGGGGTGGGCATGCTGGCCCAGCTTCCTCAGCAGCCGGTCCTGCAGGCGGGTGGGGGGCCGGGGCGGGTTGGGCACTGGGGGGAAGGCCTGGTAGGTGGCGATGAACAGGTCTTTGCGGAAGGACAAGCCCAGGACATCCAAGTCTTCGCGGCCATAGCGGAAGGCGCAAGTGAGGGTCACAAACACTGGCAAGGGAAGTCAAGATGAGTGGTCAGGACCTCCCTTCCCCAGTCCCCTGGTACCTAGCAGCCAAGGCCCCTCCCTCTGCAGCATGAGACTTGCTCAAATCCTACTTCTGGCTTCTACCTCCAGCCTCCCTCTCTCTGGGCACCCTTCCAGTGCCAGCCCATTTCACTTCCCTACCCTCTACTTCCCCTGGGTCCCTGGACTTGGAGCCAGTACCTTTGCGGTCCTTCAGGTAGTCAGGGTCCACAAGCACCACGCCATCTAGGAGGGGGACACACCAGCTCACTTCCTGAAAGGGCAGCTCCCCCATGTCCTGGGCCTGGGAACTTCTTCCCCTCTTGGGGAATGAGTTGCCCCTTTCTGGGGAAACTTACCTACAGGGTCCACTTTGTCCAGGTGATCTACGAAGTCCCGCTTGCCCAAGTACACGGTCAGCTGAGGATGTCAAGGGGTCACAGGAAGATTGGGGAGGATGGTGCCAGGGCATCAGAGCCCTCAATACTGACTGCCCTGCCCCAGGATCCCCAAGCTGGGCTATAGGGAGTTTCTCCAGGTTTTTTCCCAGTAGTGTTAAAAAGGAGGGTGGCGGCATTTCTCAGGCTAGCAGACCTTTAGGCTTTTTAACTGCTCCCTAATCTCTGCACACCACTGCCCACCAGCCAGGTGGGCAGGTGTGTGTGTGTGTCCTTAGCCCAACCAGCCAGATGTATGTGTGTATTTGCATCCTCAGGGAGGACTCTGCCAGCTAGGGGTGTGTGTGTGTGTGTGTTGCATGCATGTGTGGTCTGTGAGTGTGTGTCATGTGTGTGTCTTTGGATCCTCAGGGAGGACTCAGCCCAACCAGCCAGGTACGTGTGTGTGTGTGTGTGTGTGTGTGTGTGTGTGTGTGTTTGGATCCTCAGGGAGAACTCAGCCCAACCAGCCAGCTAGAGAGCAGCTGCCACCCTCACTATGTCCCCTCAAGGGGCTCTAGGATAAGCAGGCCACAGCCTGGGTGGGGGCTGTTAACTCTTCCCAGGGTGGCGCACCTTGGGTTGGCCCCTAGGAGGGCTGTAGGCACATGGCTTGCTTCTGGCCTCCTCCTCTGTGGTCTTGCTTGGGGACCCGGGTCTGCCCCACCCAGCCCTGTGGCTGGCTCAGGTTGAGCAGCCTCTGTGGCAAGGGGCTTCAGGAGGGAAGGAAGTCAGCTCTTAGCTGTCACAGGAAGTGGGGAGCTAGGGGTTGAGGATCATCTTGGGGCAGGCTGGCAATCCTTTAGGGGAAGGCTGGACTCTGTTGGGGCCCAGGGAGGGTGAAAGGGATAAGTGCCATGGAGACTCACCTTGCAGTTAGGACTTGACTTCTTGAAGACCCTAACAAAACAGAAAGGGAAACCCCACTGCTTCCCTCAGACTCAGCAGGCACCCCACACCAGGACCCTGTCCCTCCCAGGCCTGGGAAGCAGAGCTCACCCAGGACTCCTGCCTGAGGCTGCAGGGCTTTGCCCAGCTCTGCCCCTTTCCACTTCTTCCTGTAAAGTCCTTCCTATTTCTAACATGACAGCAAGGAAAAATGCCCCTTCTCTTGTCCACCCTCCTTAGTCCCCTTCCCTCCCTAGTAATGGCCACTGATTGCCCTAGGAACCACCCAGGCTCTTCCCCAGGCACCCGAATGGGCAGGTTGCCGCAGCATCTGGGTAAGACCTAACCATCTTTCCATCGGGTCTACAGCTCCAACAGCTGGAGCATATAAGAGAGCAATGACCCTGGACTTTGACCCTCAAATGGTTTCTACCATAGGCCCTAGCCCAGTTCGACTCTATCCATTCACCTCCAACTGTCCCCATCTCCGACCTTAGCAGCTTAAAAGCCTCTTTGTCTTTTAAGGTCCAGCCTTTAGGAAGCTGACCCAGCCCAGACCCTGGTCACTCCTTGTTTTGGGTTCCTGGCTCAGTTTGTTTATGTTTTACTTGTGGTGTGGCAGGACACAAGGGCAGTTAGCTGCCTCCCTCCTCAGACTGTGAGCCTTAGAGGCCTTATTCATTTAGGCATCTGCAGCACACTGCCAGCCACATGATGATGATGATAATGCTGGCTAACATTACAGGGTGGATACTCCATGCCCAGCACTGTTCCAAGTGTTTCAAACGTGTTATCTCTTTTAATAATCTTTTCTTTTGAGACAGAGTCTCACTCTGTCGCCCAGGCTGGAGTGCAGCGATGCAATCTCTGCTCACTGCAACCTCCACCCCCTTGGGGTTCAAGAGATTCTCCTACTTCAGCCTCCCATGTAGTTGGGATTACAGGAGTGAGCCACCACGCCTGGCTATATTTTGTGTTTTCTTTTATTTTGAGACTGAGTCTCACTCTATTGCCCAGGCTGGAATGCAGTGGCGTACTCCTGGCTCACTGCAACCTCCACCTTCCGGGTTCAAGCAATACTCGTGCCTCAGCCTCCCAAGTAGCTGGAATTACAGGTGCCTGCCATCATGCCCAGCTAATTTTTGTATTTTTAGTAGAGATGGGGTTTCTCCACATTGGCCAGGCTGATCTTGAACTCCTGACCTCCCATGATCCACCCGCCTTGGCCTCCCAAAAGGCTGGTATTACAGGCTTAAGCCACCACATCTGCCCTATATTTTGTATTTTTTTAGTAGAGACGGGGTTTCCCCATGTTAGCCAAGCTGATCTCCAATTCCTGACCTCAGGTGATCCGCCCATCTCGGCCTCCCAAAGTGCTGGGATTACAGGCGTGAGCCACTGCACCTGGCCCATTGGGTTAAGCGTATTAAAAGAAGGCTGGGAGCAGTGGCTGATGCCTGTAATCCCAACACTTTGGGAGGTTGAGGTGGGCAGGTCACTTGAGGTCAGGAGATCCAGATCAGCCTGCCCAACATGGGGAAATCCTGCCTCTACTAAAAATACAAAATTTAGCTGGGTGTGGTGGTGCGTGCCTGTAATCCCAGCTTCTTGGGAGGCTGAGGCAAAAGAACTGCTTGAATCTGGGAGGCAGAGGTTGCAGTGAACCAAGATTGTTCCATTGCACTCCAGCCTGGGCAAAGAGCAAGACTCTGTCTCAAAAATAAATAAATTAATTAAATAAAATAAATAAAACAACCCAGTGATGGAGGTCCTAATATCTCTATTTTATAAGTGAGGAAACTGAGGCAGAGAGAGGTCAAGTGTTTTGTTTAAGGTCACAGAGAGAGTAAATGGTGGGAATTCATATAAACCCAGGCAGTCTGGCTCCAAGTCCATACTCTCAATCAATATTATACTATCTGTCTCTGCAGTTGGCATTAATAGTTTGTTGAATTGAAGAGTATTCGCTTTCCAGTTGCTGAAACAACTTCAGCCTGGATTCCACCCATGGCTGGGTAAGGAAGGGTTTGGCAACCCCAGTTAATTGTGGCCTGTTCTTTGAAGCACCACCTTGCTGCTTCTACTCTATTCTGCCTCAGCAGAGATAGGAAAAGGTCCCAGATAGTAAAAAGTGAAATCCTGCCAACTAGCCCATCCCTCCTCCAACTCTACCACCCCATTCCCAGAGGACCCAAATGGGCAGGTTGCTTAAGTGTCTGAGTAAGACCTAACCATCTTCCCATCTGGTCTACAGCTCTGACAGCTGGAGCACATAGGAGAGCAATGACCCTGGCCTTTGGCCCTAAAGTAGTTTCTACCATAGGCCCAGTTTCCGCTACAACTTCACTTGCCCCTTCTTCCCAGAATGTCAAGTTGTCCAAAGCTTGTAAGGCAAAGGGTATGGAGGCCCCCAGGTATTCCCAACCAATAAAGGAGAATAAACATCAATATGGCGGCATCTAGAATAAACACCCTATCTTTTGTTCCAGCTTGGGGGCTTAGTGCCGTGGCATCATCCAGGTTCTCCTGCCTCTTTGCTTCTGGTTTTCCTTTGTCCCAGGGTCTCCTCCCATTAGGAGCCCTGGCACAGGGCTGTGACGGCCACAATCAGTTGGCCCACTGGAGTGTGGCTCTGGCGCAACTGTCCTGGAGCAGCTGCAAGGCACCTGCCCTTTGGATCCTAACCCAGCCACCTTCTGCCAGGCTGGGGAAGAGCAGCGTGCATATACTAGGCTGGACAAGGAGGGGGAGCATGGGGATGACCAGGGAGGTGCCCAGTGGGAGGCAGGGGGTAGCTGAAGCAGACGTCCTTTCACACTTCCTGCTCTTCTGTTTCCTGTGGCCCAGAATTTGATTGGGGTGCAGGAAATTGTGCCAAATCAGCAGTCCCTTTGGTCCATCTGTCCCACTCCCTGAACCACATAACGGAAATCTGGGGCCTCCCACAAGTCAGCAACTTCCCCTTTCTCTGGGGTGTTTAAACCCTAATCCAGGACACCGATTATTTCTCTGATCATCTCTTTCTGATACTCGTTTACTTGATGCACAGAAATCCAGGTTCTCATACTCCATAGGTTGGAAGTGGGGTCGACATGATGTTTTGCAGAGCAAGCAAGAGCTCAGGACCAATCCCCATTCCTGAGCCCCTCTGGGTTGAGGCCTACAGCCCCAACCTTTTCGCCTTTTGCTCCTGCTCCCCGGGACTCAGGCATTCACCCCTTGCCCCTTGGGGGTGTTGAGTCACAACAGGAAGTGGATTTTGCTAGAGACCAAAAAAGAGAACTCAGGGTGTCAGTGGAAGGAAAGAGCCTCGATTGCACAGAAAACATCCGGGGAGTGGACGCGTGCCCAGGGTGAATACTGCCTCCACAACCCACAGAGAGAGGGATACGATCCAGTTTCAGGGAGGGTCGCCACACACACGGCTCCCCCAAGATGAAGCTGTTGCTCCTGGCAACCCAGGGAAAGGTAGAAGTTTGGATGAGGAGCCGCTCGGCCTTGGGACAGGTGTGGTCAGCGCAACTGCCTGGGGGATATTGGACTGGAGGCTTTCCATTGGCTTGGAACGAGTCTAGAGGTGATCCCCCCTTCCGGCATCCAGCCTCCGGTACACGACCCCTCAGGGCCAGCCACCTGCTCCTCCTTCCTCTGTCCCTGCAACGCAGCCTGCACCGGAGAGCCCAGTAGTCCAGCCCCACATCCCTGCGAGAACCCCGACACCGGTTTTCTCATCCCCCGCTCAAGCCTCGCTTTCTGCAGGGGCCCGGGCATTTCCCCCCCACCATTATCCTCGAAGACCTGCGCGTGCGGCCCCGGATGGCTGCCCCTAGGGACCCAGGTGTCCGGCCCCCAGATCCTCTCCGCTGTGTCCTCGTCTGGGACCGTACCAGCACCCGCCCCGAGCCACCGCCCATACCCTGCCGCGTGGCCCCACCTCCCTTACCTGGTGCCGGGTTTCTCCCCCATGGTGCGCGCGCCCGCCGCCCGCTCGGTTCGCGGCTGGCTCGCAGCCTCCTCGCCCGCTGCCAAGATCCCTGCTCCTCCCCGCACCACTGCGCACGCGCGCCCTCCGCGCTCTAGCCTCTTCCCCTCCCTCCCGGCCCGGCTCTGGTCCGGGGGAACCGGGGCCAGATGCGTCAGCCGGATCGCGCGCGCCGCGGCGCAGCCCGCCCTCTCCTAGCAGACACTCGCGCCCATTGGCTCCGCCCCCAGCCTTTCGCGCTGCGTCCCAGGGGGCCCGCTCCCCCTCTTCCCGCCCATCTCCCCGCCCCACCGCAACCCCTTGGAAACCGATTGGACCTCCTTAAACCAATGCACCCGCCTTCCAGGGGATCGAAGTCTTTCGATTGGCCCTGGGCATCCAAAACCTGCAGGGGGTCTCCTCCCTTTGGTTTGCTTTCTCTGTGGCGGCGGGGGCGACGGGGATGTTGGGGCTGCTGGAATGAGCTGGAGAGCCGTCTAAGAAGGAGGAAAGAGGGGATGCACACGTGGGTGAGCGGTTCAGTTACGTGATGCTTGCTTCAGTGCGCGCCGCTCGTCCGCTCGCCTCGGAGCGTGCCGCTTTCTGTGGCCCGGCCTCCCACATCTTTACTGCAGTTTGTCAGCTCCCTCTGATGTCTACATTTGATCTTTGCAGGGTTCCCTGTTCCAATTTCTCTATCAGTCTCCTTCAGCCACTCATCCCAGGTAACATCCACTCACTCTCTCCCATCCACACCCATCTATCAACCCATCCATCCATGCCTATTTTTATTTTTCTTTTATCTAAGTTTTCTTGTCGCCTAGGCTAGAGTGCAGTGGCACGATCTCGGCTCACTGCAACCTCTGCCTCCGGGGTTGAAGCGATTCTTCGGCCTCAGCCTCCCCAGTAGCTGTGATTACAGGCGCTCGCCACCACGCCAGGCTAATTTTTGTATTTTTTGGTAAAGGCAGGGTTTCACCATCTTGGCCAGGCTGGTCTTGAACTCCTGACCTCGCGGTCCACCCACCTCGGCCTCCCAAAGTGCTGGGATTACAGGCATGAGCCACAGCGCCCGGCCATCCATGCCTATTTTTTGCTATTCGCTATGCCAATTGATGGGGACACATAGAATTTACCATGGCCCCTGCCTTCCTAGAATAGTTGAGGAGACACATACACAGGTATTATGATCCCAGGAATGCTATTACAGAGGTCTGAGTCAGAAGACACAGCAGCTAACAGTGCTTGGCCAGGGCAGGGGTGGAGGGAGTGCAGGCTGTCTAGAGTGGAGAACATTTGAGGACAGTGTTTCTGAAGGACGGTCAGTTGAGAAAGGCCATTCCAAAGAGAAAGACAAGGCACATCCTGTTGTGAAGTGTTGGTGAAGAAGCCTGGAACAGGCTGCGGAGGATTTTGTATAGCAGATGGAGTGAGATTGAGGGCCCTGCAGTAGGACACATGGGACCGGTAGTGGTTTTAATTTTTTAATTTTTTTTATTTTTCCGGTAGTGGTTTTTAAAGCAGAGGGGGCTGCGCGTGGTGGCTCACCCTATAGTCTCAGTATTTTGGGAGGCCGAGGCAGATGGATCACTTGAGGTCAGGAGTTTGAGACCAGCCTGGCCAAGAAGATGACATTTAGCCTATAATCCCAGCTACTTGGGAGGCTGAGGCAGGAGAATCACTTGAACCTGGGAGGTGGAACATGGTGAAACCCTGACTCTACTAAAAAATACAAAAATTAGCTGGGCGTGGTGATACGTGCCTGTAGTCCCAGCTACTCGGGAGGCTGGGGCAGGAGAATTGCTTGAACCCAGGAGGTGGAGATTGCAGTGAGCCGAGATTGTGCCACTGCACTCCAGCCTGGCGACAGAGCAAGACTCTGTCTCAAAAAAACAAAAACAAAAACAAAACACACACACACACACACACACACACACACACCCTAAAAATGAGCCAAGTATGGCTGGCTAGTGCCTAGAGTCCCAGGTACTAGGGAGGCTGAGGTAGGAGGATCGCTTGAGCTGGGAGGTCAAGGCTGCAGTGAGCTGTGATTGTGCCACTGCACTCCAGCGAGGGGGAAATACTTTTTCAGCACCAGGTACTGTTCTAGGTGATGGGAATAACATAGTGTAGGAGACAAGAGCCCTTTCATGGAGTTTGTATTTTAGACAAAAGAGAGAGTTAATAAATAAAAGCAAATACATTTCTAGTAATGACATGAATTCTAAGCAGGGAAATGTGATGGAGGCTGATGGGGGTTGGGGTGGGAGCTATCTAAAAAGAAGCCCTCTCAGGATGGCAAGATAGTGTCAGTCACACAGAATCAAAGGACAGTCTCCAGTAAAATCAGCAGCATGTGTAAATCTTCTGATGTGGGAATAGGCTTTGCTGGAGGATAGAAAAAAGGCTAGTTTGGCTCAGGAATAGGAAGAAAGAGGGAAAGTGGTACTTGTGGTATATGTTGAGGTCAGGGAGGTGGGTATGGGTCAGATTGGGTGGATTCTTTTTTTGAGATGGAGTTTCACTCTTGCCCAGGCTGGAGTGCAACGGGATCTCAGCTCACCAAAACCTCTACTTCCCGGATTCAAGCAATTCTCCTGCCTCAGCCTCCCAAGTAGCTGGGAATACAGGCATGAGCCATTACGCCAGCTAATTGTGTATTTTTGGTAGAGATGAGTTTTCTCCATGTTGGCCAGGCTAGACTCCAACTCCCGACCTCAGGTTATCTGCCCGCCTCAGCCTCCCAAAGTGCTGGGCTTATAGGTGTGAGTTGGTGGATTCTTGCAGGCCTCAGTGATGAGATGGGATTTCATTCTCATCACGTTTGGAAGGCACAGAAGGGCTTTAAGCAAGGAGTGACAAGAACTGGTTTACATTTGAAAAGACCACTTTGGTTGCTGTGTGAAGGGACTAAAAGGTGCCAAGAGGGGAGCAGAAGATGGCTTTGTAAGAGGCTATTACTGTAAGAGATGAGGCGAGAGTGGCAGTGGAGGTAGAGAAAAATTAACACTATTGGGTTAATGTATTTTGGAGCAGACTGCCAGAACTTGAAGGGTTGGATAGAAGGCAAAAAGAGGAAAAATGGGCCAGGCACAGTGGTTCACACCTGTAATCCCAGCACTTTGTGAGGCCCAGGCAGGCGCATCATCTGAGGTCAACAGTTTGAGACCAGCCTGGGCAACATGGTGAAACCCCCGTCTGTACTAAAAATACAAAAATTAGCCCAGTGTTGTGGTGGGTGCCTGTAATCCCAGCTACCTGGAGGCTGAGGCAGGAGAATCACTTGAACCCAGGAGGTGGAGGTTGCAGTGAGCCGAGATTTCACCATTGAACTCCAACCTGGGTGACAGAGTGAGACTCCTTTTCGAAAAAAAAAAAAAAAGGAAAAATGATAACTCTTGGATTTGAATCTAACAATCACAAAAGTACACAAAAATAGAGGTATTAGTATGTTCATTACAGTGTTTATATTAGCAAAAAGCTGGAGCAGCGGTCAAGTATTAATTCAGCAACAGAATTATTAAATCATGGTGCACCCACTTCATGATGTACCACAGTTTAAAAAACAGTGCAAATTAGACCATGAGTGAAAAAAAAGCCACACGCAGACCCTAATCTTGTAAATAGACTATGCATTTAAATGTTTGTGCATAGACTAATATTATTACAAAAGTATACACACTACTGGGGCAGGGCCTTGTGGAGAGAGGCAGTTTTCCTTTTTACATTATGCCCTTCTATATTGTTTGAATTGGCTTCTGCAAGGTGCACATCTTATATCATTTCTGAAATTGCAGATGTAGTTAAAAATGTCTGTGATTTCTGACTCCAAGAATTACCTGGAAAGCTACTGATTCCTCGGCCGTGCGCGGTGGCTCACGCCTGTAATCCCAGCACTTTGGGAGGCCGAGACGGGCGGATCACCTGGGGTAGGGAGTTCGAGACTAGCCTGGCCAACATCATAAAACCCCTTCTCTTCTAAAAATACAAAAATTAGCCGAGTAAGGTGACGCGTGCCTGTGGTCCCAAGCTACTTGGAAGGCTGAGGCAGGGGAATGACTTGAACCCAGGAGATGGAGGTTGCAGTGAGCCGAGATCGTGCCGCTGCACTCCAGTCTGGGCGACAGAGCGAGACTCTGTTTAAAAAAAAAAAAAAAAAGAGAGAGAGAGAGAGAGTTATTGATTGCTATAGTAAAGGTGTCTTGGGACTCCGCCCGTTAAATGGAAATCGTTCGGACTCTCGCGCCTTTTTTGTCCGGACCACGTGTACCTTAAACATCACGGGACCGCCTCCGACCCGCTTACAACCAGCCCCACCGGCCATCACTCTGGGAACTGAGCGCCTGGTTGCCTCGGCGCCCGGACTACTCTCCCTGCGCATGCTCCTTCCCAGCCTGAGCCCGCGAGTCCAACCCGCCTTCACCCAGTGCGCAGAGCCTCAGCCCCCCTCCCCACGCCCCCTCCCCACTGGGCGGGCGTCGCAGTGTGTTTGCGTCATCGCGCCACGCCACTACTGGAGCCCGGGGGAAGATGGCGGCAGCCGTTCTTAGTGGGCCCACTGCGGGCTCCGCGGCTGGGGTTCCCGGTGGGACTGGGGGTCTCTCGGCAGTGAGCTCGGGCCCGCGGCTCCGCCTGCTGCTACTGGAGAGTGTTTCCGGTTTGCTGCAACCTCGAACGGGGTCTGCCGTTGCTCCGGTGCATCCCCCAAACCGCTCGGCCCCACATTTGCCCGGGCTTATGTGCCTATTGCGGCTGCATGGGTCGGTGGGCGGGGCCCAGGTGAGTCCGTGGCCCTTGTGCCCGCGGTCCTGTGGGGAGGTTGGCGCGGCACCTGTGCTCCGGGATTTCGGTGCAGTGCAAGTGCGATAGAGAGGTTGAGGGAAGGAGAGCTGCGGGCAGAAAGGGGATCCAGTCCGGACGAGATGCACATATTTCTCCTTTATCGGCCATGAGTTTCTCCAGGGGAAAAATGGGCCTTATTTTTCTGTTGTTAGGCTATTGCTCAGCACACAGGAATTGATTAGATTCCAGGCCGGTTCACTCCCTGGTTGTATAATCGAATGCCTCTTTTTCCTCTGGCGATAACTGTTTT